GTTCTTTGGAGAAATGCCATAGAAGAATCACCTAAAGAACCTTTTAATGGATGGTTCTATGATTTCTGGTTCTATTTTTGTGTGTTTGTGAAGATTCTAAAGAACCTTCACAAAATATAAAGGTTTTACCTAGAGCTTTACATCCATGGAAAACCCATTTAAAATCATTTAGTTTTCAGAGTGTAGCAGAACAAAAATGGCTAAACATGACACACCTGCTAATTATTCATTTTTGCCGAGCATGGATAGCTGACCCAGGGAGATGGGGTCATGTTGGCTACCCCTCAATAAAATCTATCCAACTGTTTGCCAAGAAGAGCAAATGAGAAGGCTGGGTCTGTAGGACACACTTCTACTTCATATGAAGTGTTTGTATACAGTGCCTGCCTTTTTCTGCCTTAGCCACCAAAGCCATTCCCTGAATAACAGTGACACAAAAACAGACATTGATTGACTACATAACACCACAAAGAAAGTAAGACAGGTGGCTTTGTGGGAGGAAATCATCTGCATTCAGTAAAAAATGTATTTTCCCAATCAAAGGCAATCATTTTTGGCTTGTAATAAAAAGTACTTGTCAGTGAGGTCTACAGTTCAGATTATTACTGTTTTTATTTTTGTTATTTTGTTATTTTGCTGTTACTACCTGATATCCATGTAAACGGACTGAGATACATATTTTAACTCCTTATAGATTTTTCAGTTACTACTATAAATTGTTTGCCAACTATTATGATATATGAATATCTAAGTTATGTAGTTATTAGCATAAAGAACTGAAGTGGATCCACATACAGATCTGTAAGTTTAAAATGATTTTTTGTTCTCCTGTAAAGTTACCATTTTAGAGATATGAGGTTTTGTTCTGATAGTGACGATGTTAAAGGTTTCATCTTTAATCAACACTCTTAAAAATAAAGGTACCAAAAAAAACAACATACACTATGACATACACCAAATAGGGTTCTTCTATTGTTACAAACATCATCATAACAATAGCAGCACCCTTTTTGGTGCTTTATAGAACCGTTTTCAAAAAGGTTCTATAAAGAACCATATATTCACATTCTACATCAAGCTGAAAAACTGTTTCTTTATGCAAAGAACCATTTAGGCATGAGGTGGTTCTATGCAGAACCATTCCCTTTACGAAAAATCCCCTTTGAAGAACCACGCTTTTTAAGAGTGTACAAGAAGGACTTTTAGTTCCCTAAAACCTCTTTAGAGAACCGTTTTTGTAAACAAGATGTGTGAGTGTGATGAACCATTTCAGGTTTAAAGAACCTCCACATCAGGTAAAGGTTCTAGGAAGAACCCTTAAATTGGTACAATCTTAACATGGGAACCTCTAATAGTTTGTTCACATTCACATCTCTTTTCCATACATGGTTCTCTGTGGCATCACTCAAAGGACCCTCTGTGGCACCTTTATTTTTAAGACTGAAGGTTCTTCTTCAGGGCTCTCACTGCTTCACCTGATGAATTGTATTTCTCATCTTCTTTGTCTCCACAGTTGCATTTTCTCTGAAGTGTCTCTGGTATGAGCTGTGATGTCGGATTTGACTTGAATAATAAAGATTCCAGGCAGATCTTTTTTCACTCTCACTGATCTTCATATAATTGCTTCTCTCTAAAATTGCACGAATGTGTTATGTAGATCACACCATCTGCACAACAAAGTCTGCGTTACTTGAACCTGCCACAGTTTGGCTGTGTTTGTAAAAGTGGGCAGGACATTAGATGTTGACTAAGTGAATCTCTCTGGTCTGAGAAAAGCAAGGACCTATGTTCTGAATCTTAATGACACAGCACTGATCATACTGAATTTAAGTTGGTATCAAAGGCTTATTTCTAATGCAGGTGCTTCTCTGCAGCGAGGGTAATTATCCCCATTATTCAAATGACGCAAAGGCGGTCGAGCAGCCCTTTCATATTTCATGGCCTTTTTGTTTTCCAGCCGTCTGTAGCCCAAGTGCACGGCTCTCCCAATGCCACACAAAGGCCCGATTCTGTTTTCCTTCTCTCACTGCTTTTTTTTTTCCAGAGCGGCCCTAAGGCCTCTGTTTTGCAAACAGATTCACAGCTATCAGCATCCCTGCTGATTAATTAGGACTTCATTTGTCACAGCAAGTCAGCTTCAGAGTGCTTGCATCTTACATTGACTTCGCATTAAATCAGCACCGCTTATGAATTCTCCCTTTGTTCTCTACTTTTCACATTGAATGTACTTTGCAAAAGAGGTTGCTTTTAGAAGCCAGGTGAATGGAAACTCTTTGGATTTGGCACCTGTGGATACAGCAACTAACTGAAGACCAACAATAAACTATTTTGCTTGTAAAGCAGTTATGCAATTTTACTTTGACTTTGTATTTAGTTGACTTCATCTCTAAGACAAATCAAATTACACTCAGGAAAAAAACTGCACCTTTCAGGGTGCAAATGCTGTCAGTGGGGTGGTGCCTTCAAAGTACCTGTAGTTGGGGAACATAACTGTAACATGTTCAGTTGCAGTTATGCTTTTTAAGTTTTGACTCCAGGCTCTTTAATGTTATTAATCCACTCATAGAAGAGGTCATATATGTGTGTTTCCCCTGTACACTGTCAGAAAATAATAATAATTGCAAGATATTATATTTACAGCTATATTTACATATACATTGACTCCATACACTCTACCTTTACTTCAGGTTTTTAATTTTTCTATTTTAAAACATTAGGTAATGAAACTGTACAAGCACACCTCTTTCCCCTGATAATGTTTATGTAGTGGGCCTTTAAAACGTACTAAATATACATAATTGGACTTTATGGACCATGTTGTACCTTTGAGGGTACATTTACATTGTATTTCAATAAGCAAAAATGTACCTATACAATAACCTTTTTTCTGACAGTGTATATTCCATGTCCACCGAAGCGATTTTGCAGAAGTAATGAATGTTGACTATAGAGTATCAGGCAAGCTCAGCGTTCATGTATGTCAATAGGACTTTCCATGTTAGTTGATTGGCTTCTATTATGGGAACTCAAACAAGATCAAGGCGCCTCATACATACCATTAGAGCATCTAATCTTCTGAACTGGGAGGGAGACTGAAAGCCAATCTCCATGTTAATTACCAAAGCTGGAACACGTTGGAGTGCAGGTGACTTGTACAGTGACCAGCTTCATGGTCAGAATTGGCTGTAATCGTGCACATCACAGCTGCATTGGCTCCAGCCTGGCCTTGGCCAAGTGTTTCTAAAAACCCTTCAAATAAATTCTATCAAAACGTTATTAAAACAAGTGTCGGAGGAAATGAGTGATGGCATATTTTTGGAAACCAGCAAGTTCATCTGAAGTGAAATCAAATTCTAATTCTAAAGCATATTAGAGTGAAATATCAAATCATTCTGACTCCATACTCTCACACACAGGCTTCACTTACACAACTCAGCAAGCAGCAGTCAGGCATTGTAACACAGTGCCCCCTGTTGACCATTTGTAGAAAAACAGATTGCCTGCTCATAGATGAACTCTCACCTCTTTAATGTGAAGACATGCGAAAGTCAGGTCTCTTCCTCTCTATAGCTCCGGGCTCCTCAGATCAGGTCCTGAAGGGCCGGTGACCACCACAGTTTGGTGATTTTCCTGCCTATTTAACTCGTCATACATAACTTTTTGCAGAGTGACAGGCCATGACCTCTTGATGGACGAAGTTGAGGAGCCCCGGCGCATAACAGACTAGGCCTACAGGTCGGCTGGATAGTGTATTAGGACTCGAATAAACATGTTAATGAGGATGCAAAACAGAACTTTATTTCTCTCTATTGAACATATGTTTTTGTTTTGTTTTTTTTTATCTTTTGTTCTTTAACCCATCCATGTAAAATGACAAGATGCCATATAACATGTTCTGTAACTCAGTTTCCCATAATTATGTAGTTATACATTGAATAAACATCTAGCAGAACCTTTTTTTTCATAATTTTATTCATAATCAAATCTGGATTTTCCATTGTTTGATTGCAACAAGTCGCTCAACAAATGTAAGATTTAAATTAAGTGATTATCTCACTTTTTAGCCATATGGTTTGATCAATTTGCAAATGTTTTTCAGATTTGTGCTCAGAATATATGGACCAAAGGATATGGATATTAATGGGTTAATTAGGCAAGATCTATTGTTTTGTTTTTCACACACTATAATAACACCTATTCACATCTGTTAATTTCTCCTGATCTAATACTAAAATGGATTAGTGAAAGGCTGTAAATAGCCTAGCAAATGATTTTAGCTGTAATTGTCCAGCTGGATATTAGGCTGCAGCACTGTGGGGTCATTGTTTTTATTAGCCTTATTAATGCTCAGCGTAAACGTGGCTACATTTTAAATGGCCTTTAAGCACCTTGGCGAACCGTTTATGTGGGAACACGGCAGTGTAGCCCACCAGGGTGCCAAGAACGAGATAGTAGCAACTCCACAGCAGCCTAAGTGAGGAGGGTGATTCTTAACGACGTAATTGTCACAAATCTTTCTATATTTAATTTCTTCTCTCGTCGTTTAATAAGGTGAAAAGTGAAAGTAACAAAACTGACTTCCTCTATTTTTATGCAGAAGTTGCAATGTTTTTACTGCCATTAATCAAAGCAGCGCTTATGAGTTCATCTGCTCCACTGATGTCATTGTTCGCGAGAGCAGTATGAAAAGGCAGGCCGCGCGCGCACTTAAGCTACATGGATTGATGTTTTCACACCTTTCGTCACACTAAAGGCGGCTCGGTTTCGGTACCCCAACGACCCTCGTGTGAGCCCTCCAGCCTCCCTCTGAGCCCCTCAAAGGCCCTGAAGATGGCACCGACCATCAAAAGGACCCTCGTTTCTATAAGTAGTCTCGGTTTGGTCTCAGAGGGACCAAAAAAGCATCGCTCATTCTCCAAGAGGACAGCTTAGGAGAAACACCACGCAGCTCCTCTATTCTCCGTTCTCATCTCTCTCTATTGGATATGATCTCTACCACGATGCGGCCGATCTGCGGGATGCTGGTGGTGCTCTTGTTGGCAGGGGTCCGCTCGGATAGACCCCCGCTGGGGGAGCCCCGCTCCTCCTACCCGCCCTACATGATGCAGCTGTACCGCAGCGCGCTGTCTGAGGGCCGCCGGGCGGGCAGCTCTCCGGACAGCAGCCGCGGAAAGGAGGCTCTGCATCACGCCGACTCAGTGCTCAGCCTGCTGGCCAAGAGTGAGTAGACTTCATCAAATTATGGTTTTATTATGAGTTAGCTGTTACATTAATATGAGCTTTGTGTAGTCACGATTTTGAAAAAGGAATTAGAAGTTTAATGTTTAGTTTATTTAACATTCTTATATTTAAGACAAATTTTATCATATTCTAACTACATTTTATTATAACTATTTTATTGTTTATTTGATAAATAAAACAAAATATTATGATATTCTTACTTTTTTTAGCTTTTATTATGTAATTTTTATTGATCTGTTTTCCTATTTTTGGAATTTATTATACTTTATTTTTTTGCCTATTTCTTTTTAATTTTATCATGTCATTTTTATTTTCCGTTTTATTCAGAATTATTTCAATTTTTAAAGTTTCAAAAAACAGTAGTTTTAACGTTTTTAAGCTGTTAATATTTCATATTTTACATTTTTTATCGTAATATTTAGTATTATTTTGAAAGTTTGTTTGTTTATTTATTTATTCATTTATTTGAGTTTTCCTCAGCGCCAGGATTTAAGAAAAAAAATTAGTCTGATTCCGTAGCAGATTAGCTGTCTTCAATTTGCCGGAGTGATTTATTAGTCTTGTGTATTAGCTTAGCTTCAAGACGTCTGCTTTCAAAGCAGCGAGGCTACGTAGGAATACACAATCTGATACTACAGGCCTTGAGCTTTATTAAGTGCTTGACTGCCAAAGTGTGAAAAGTGTCTTTTGGGATCGTTAAGCGCCGAACATTCATTACGCAATTAAATATTTCGCACGTCTGAGGTTGCATTAAGAAATACGTCGATGGTGTGCTGATGCTATCTGTCTCTGTGTGATTTTCCTTAGGTTGCCACCAGGTGGGTGACAAGTGGGCCATCACTTTTGACATGTCCTCCGTCTCAGCCACCGACAACGTCCAGCGGTCAGAGCTTCGCGTTCGCCTTCCAGAGTTTTCCACCTCGGATAACACTGTGGTGGACATCTACCACGCTCCTAAAGGCCACTGTGGTCAGGACCCCTGTGCTGAAGAGCGTCTTCACCTGGGCAGCCTCAGAGCCACACTGAGCAAGTCTTCCTCGCACTCTTCTTGGAGGGTCCTCAACATGACTCAGCTCCTGAAGTACTGGCTGCATCAGGGTGGGCAACTGCCGACCCAGGAACCAAGCCAGGAGGAACTGAGAAAAGGAGCAAGCCAGGAGCTTAAGACTGTCCAGCATCCAACAGCCAACAGCGTCATGATGGTGGTCTACTCCAAGCAGGCGCAGAGAAAAGCATCTACTCTCATCCGCACAGCTGAGCACTCCAAGTATGTGGCTTTTGATCGCACCAGCAGTGGTCATGGGTCTGTAGCCCGGAGGCACAAGCGGAACCACAGGGTTCATAAGAAAGTGCGTGAGGCAGCGGGGGCGGGCGTGCATATTGGAGCCCCCCAAGCAGAGGGCGAAAAGAAGCCTCTGTGCAGAAAGGTGGACATGTGGGTGGACTTCGATCAGATTGGCTGGAGCGAATGGATCATCTATCCGAAGAGATACAATGCCTATCGCTGTGAGGGTAGCTGCCCTACACCAGTGGACGAGTCCCTTACCCCAACAAACCATGCATACATGCAGGTAAGGATGGTCAAACTAAATATAAATTCACAGTAATTGTTATCATGTGTGACTTACTAAATTCCCAGATGAGACGTTAACATTTCTTTTTCTCTCTTTATTACAGAGTCTTCTGAAGCTGCATCACCCGGACCGCGTCCCATGCCCATCCTGTGTGCCTACGCGCCTGGCTCCTCTCTCTATGCTGTACTATGAGAATGGGAAGATGGTGATGAGACATCATGAAGGCATGGTGGCAGAGGCATGTGGCTGCCACTGATCTCCAAACACTGAGCAACTTCAGCACTTAAGAACATCTCTACTCATGCCTGCCCCACAAAGCTAGAGACTTCAGCACTATTAAAGCAAAGAGACTTCTAGTTCTAAATGCAGATCATTTACAGACGTATTTCTGCATCATAATTTATTAAATATAGCCCTTTCATACACTGATTATACTTGCATTATTGCAGTGCTTGCATAACTTCATGTCAAGAGTGCCTTTTCACTTGAAATCAATCGGCAGCTACATTTTTTCCCCCCGTGCCTTACTTTTAATGTTTATAAGATGTATATTTGTACATAGAAAATTGTGAATTGCAAAATGTATTGAAATATTTATGCATATCTAGTAAATCTTGACTCTTATTCAAACCTTTCTATTGCATTGTGAAAGTCATTATCATATGCACCAAATCAAAGTCAACAGATGAAATGAATTCAAATGTTTTTTTAATTGCTCATTTGCAGCATTTTTCATATGTTTGAATGTCTCTTAAGGAACAATAGAGCACAATATATTCCTCTTTAACTGAAGAGAACTACACTGCATAAACAAAATAAAAAAGGCATTTACATTCAGTTGAATGACACTTTAGGTGAAAATACTTTTCAAAAGAAACTGAAATTTCTTCGATTTTTATCATTACAAAAGGTAACGCTGCCAAGAGAAAAGAGTGGTCAAATTATCCTTTGTTATCTTATGCTAAATCTTTCAGATGTGGTAAGAAGGTTCTGGGTGGCACATGACATAAAAAGGTTATTTCAAACAAACCACTGGTCCCCCCAGTGGTCACTCAGAAAATTACACAAGCTGTGTCAAAATTCACTTGGCCTACAAGATGAGCAGAATCTTAAACAGAGACATAACTAGACAGGACCACCTGCAGCAGTGGGCTTGGGTGGCAGTACCTGACAACCCTAGTGACTCTTTTAGGCACAGCAGTGTGAGATGACCTTCAGACTCAAAGGTAATGGCTTGTGCGTGTCTTAAATGACAGCATCATTACAGAAAAAAGGAAAAAGAAAAAAAAAAAACAGCAGATAATTGAAGAGTGTAGATGATGTGGATGGAGTAATCTTCTATTTCACTCATCTTTTTAGGACACAGTCATCATCACAGTAATATACGTCTTAGCCATCACCTCCTTTGTGTAATGGACTCTCCTTGTGGCTAGATGTCCATTTCAAACTGGGCGTCCTCCCCTGGACAAAACAGAAACCCACAACATAGCATTAATAACACACAAGGCAATATAAGCAGAGCTGGTCAATTTGCAGCTAACCAGCTGTCACATGCATAATTTCTCACAGGGCCAGCCACGTAATGCTTCTATTTTTGTGTTTCTGCCAAGAGATTTCATTGCTACACTGCACAACAGCTAGCCTGTGTCAATATCACAATATCACAGGATCTCATAAAAATCAATAACCACTTTGACTAGACTGTTTGTAATCACTTCAGATTTATAAGGAACATACATGACACTTTTTTTCTAGTGCATAAAGTGCAAATCACATGGAAAACAGTCACAACACATTTTTACTATTTTATGCCTTAGAATTAAAACAGCCTATTTTGTTACTGTGCTTTTAAGACTGATCTACACTGATGACCTCCAAATTGAGTGGCCCCTTACTGTGCCTCATTCAAAAAGCAGTCCACGAATGGGCAGGGCTAAACTGCTGTAGGATTCACAAGGAGATATATGCATAAAAGCAATGAATACTGTGATATCACAAAAACAAAGAATTCAACACAGGTTGTTTTTGCTGCTTGATTTCTATGAACAGATTGGTCAGCGATTATTACTTTTAAATCTTTAACAATGTTTAGCCTTATTTCATAAAAGAGAGGAATTTTGTTTTCCTTGATATGGGCACTTATATTTGTGAATCTCTGACTGGCATAAATGGTATTAGTGATATTAATTATATATAGTATCTGTAACAATTCCAGCATTTGAAGAAAAGAATCAAAAGTTTGCAGTGTATGTGAAATGTGGCATTACTGTACTATTATTATATTACCTGCACCCTTGTCCACAGGAGGACTGACGTTGTTGACAGGCTCTTGGGCATGTGCCTTTTCATTATTGACTGTAGCTGCTGGAGGGCTGGTCACCCCTGGAATGTCAGGGAGGCAGCAGGGGGGAGTGCGAGCCAATGGGGAGCTGCGACAGTCCAGCAGGAATTTTCGGTCATAGATGATTCGGGTGCCTACAGAAGTGAGTCATGAGGTGTTAGTTACACTGATCTGAAACTAGTTTTGCTGTTTTCTTTGCAATAGCTGAAACTAGGACACAGTAGCCAGTCTCAGACGAAAGGTAAAAGGGCTTGTCTACCTAGAACAGGGCTAGTCTACCCAGAGTCACAGAGGTCAGCTGGTGCATGTAGGGTGTGTCATTGTCACCAGGAAAAGTGCTTCTCTGCATGCCTCAACCTGCCCTGACAATGTGGTAAGGTAAAGCGTACCCATATCATATTCAGTTTTAGGGCTGAAAGAATAATTGTTTTTGTATCAGAATCACACAAAAAAAAAAAGAGTACAGTAATTTAAATCACAAAAGCTACAATTTTAATTATAACCCTCAACAACAATGCTGTCCTGAGTTTTAAATGAGGAAATTTTATCGAACAACATATAGCTCATAAGCAGCCTGTAGATGAGTTAGACCAATCAATCTGCCACAACTACAACAAGAAAACGTGCATGTACTTTTGTTTTCTTGGTCAAAACAGGCCTGGAACGAAATTTGACAGAAAATAATCGCAATTTAAATCTCAGTCACAATATTGCTCAATTAAAAAAACAGATTAGCAATTAGATATTTCCCCTATATCATTCAGCCCTATTTAGTTTTTACTTTTTGAATGCAAAATATGTTAAATATGTTATACAATATGACAATCATAAGTTTGGCAATATTTTGACAGGCACTGAAGATATTTTGAGAAAGCAAATAAGAAAAAAAACAAGGCCAGGCTGCATTAGAGTGGACAGTGGGAACACGGTATCAGTCCTGCTGTTATCAGCCTTTTGAGTTCTGGGTCAACCTTCACACACACACACACACACACACACACACACACACACACACACACACACACACTCACATATGCACACACAAAGTATTTTCCCTTAGGTTCTAATAAAAAGACACTACGTATAATCCAACTCCACTACAGAAAATGAGTTATTGGCTAAAGAAATAGACACGTAAAGAAAGAAATAAATTAAGTGATATGTTAGACATCTTAAGTGCCAGTTCCTGAAGCAAAATATAAATAAATACACTAACTTTCAAGGCCAAGTTGCCAGCTTTCATACACACAGCGTCTTGTGAACAGAACGCATTCAGTACAAACGTAAGCTTTGTCTCAGTATTCTAACACAAGGACTACAGAAAAAAAACTTCAAATTACTTTATTTTAAAGTCACATACACCTTTGACGCCACTAAACAATCCAATGTTTACAATTTGCAAGCCATTACTTGACTGTTGCATCACTGTACTAAAGGGCTCATAAAGTACTGAAAGTTCTGCTACTATGACTGTTTACAACATAACGCAGTAGTGCCATAGAACATTCATCTTGTAAAACGGTGAGGTGGACAAACACAGCCCATACATTTATACTTATGTGGGTATGAAACGGCCAAACAGACATAACCGAAATACAGATGGCTTTCTGTGAGGGAGAAAAGAAGAAGTGAGTGGCTGTAAAATTGAGGAAATCCATAAGAAGTCACATGCCAGCAACAGTCATCTTTCATACAGCTCTTGGCTACTGACATACTTTTTCCAAAACCCATCATTAAGCTATAGTTCTATCTTAAACTGTGCATATCAGAAGCCATAGGCTCTGACTGGCAAGAGACACTGCATGTCACTAAAATAGTGTATTTGTCATTGAGATGATGAGCATTGTTTTTGTATGTGTGGCTGGAAGGGCTGTTGGAACATCTTCCCGTTACTTGGAGTACTGGGGAGCTGCTGCCACTGAGCTCTTCGGTGAAAACAAATACATTCCAAACCACTGAATACAGACTTTTTACATATTATATACATATATATACACATATACATACACACATTTTATATATATATATATATATATATATACACACATATACACATACATACACACACATATATATATATATATATATATATATATATATATATATATATATATATATATAACATATATATATATATATATATACACACACACACACACACACACACACACACACACTATATACACATTGTAAAAAACTTAGAATTAAAACATCATATTACAGGGGAAGCCCACAGACTTTTCAGTATTTCTCCATAATTAAATCGTTAAGATGTAAACCGTGTCATTCAGAGTGATTTGAGGTGGAATGTGCCATTCTAGGGAAAGATACCGAATCAGAATTGCTCACAGTGGTGGTGATAGGAACCAGACGTCTGAAATGTTTAATGTCTCTTAAATAATAATAAAATGGCTACATTTGCGTTCTAGACATTGTAATCCTTGGTACTGGCTCACTACCATTGTAAATAAATCTGAGCTGGTATATTTCTCTAAAATGAACCATTTCACATCAAACCAGTTAGACTTTGTTTACACCTCAACCATTAAATTACGTCCAAGTTAGAAAAACCGATGGATTTCCACCTTAAGGTAAGTCACGTTTTCAAGCACTCCTGCTGCATCGAGAAATACACTGAATCACAGACGAACAAAGAGAGAATCACAAACAACATATACGAACAGACAGGATGACAGCAGCATAGAGAAAGAAAAGCAGCAGTAATCCCCAGCCTACACAAAGCCGATGCTACAGCAGAGTCCACGAGGTCGTCTAGACAAGAGATGAACTGCAACTGCAAGAAAAAAACTGCAAGCTATCCCACAATAATAAACGAGGCTGAAGTTGGCTTCCAGATTGCCAGCTTCTTGTTCGAATTTTCCCGTGCCACCTTAAATGGTGCAGCAGCTAAATTCTGGAGCCTGAGGCCAGAATGTAACTACCGCACCATTTAAGGTGGAACGGGAAAATTCGAACAAGAAGCTGGCGAATAAAAAGCCGACTTCAACTTCGCCAATAGGGAACGATTCAGCTCCAAAACCACGAGCTTTACCTCCGGGGGTCGTGCTGAACAAGGTCCCTCCGGGCGTTGTAGAGTAATCGTGGGGCAAATGGGCCGCATCGTTGACTGTCACCCTTCTGGTGGCCGGGATTGCCCGACTGGTGCTCTTCTGACTGCTTACGGACATTCTGCAACTATTTGCAACAAGCTGCCGTTGTTGTCGAACCGTGTGTCTGCACCCTAAACCAAATAAACCAAAGGGAAACAACAGAACTCAGCAGGCTAGCCATGTTGCTAACTCGCCACGAGAAAACGTGTCAGGAAAAGCAGCATGTTAGTTAGCAACAGCACACTTAGCAAGCTGGTCTCGGTATTAACGGTTTACCTTCTCCGTTTTTTTGCACGCGATGACAACATACAAATATAAATAGTACTAAATATGTGAGCTTTTATAACACTTCATTCAGACTAGCAAACTAGCTAAAATGCTAGACTGCCCTACAAGCACGTTTTCTCACATTCACTCACTCACTCACTCACTCTCACACACACACACACACCACACACTCAACAAAACATCAGCAGCAAAGAGGTATTGAAAACGCACACCGCGACACAATGTCACCCCCTCTGGCGGGGTAGGGAATTGCAAGTGCACGATGGGATTTGTAGTTTTTCATGTGTTCACGCGTTGCAGGTCTCTTTTCCTCCGTTTTCTCAAGGTCAAATAGGTTCGCTGTTTCATTGTTTTACGGAGTGTAACAACTCCTTCAAAACGTTCGCCCAGGTAAATAAAATAGTGATGATAAAACAGTAATGAAATAGCCACATGTGTTATTCCATAAATGGGGTGCCATTGAGCTCTTGGAATTCTTAACACTTAAATTTTCTTTGTTTTTTTTTCTTTCTTTCGTTATTTATTTAAACACATTTTCAAGAATGAATTTAAGAAAACATGCATTCCACCCTTCAAAAATGTATTGGGAAGGAATGTCTCATTTTTAGTAGGCGTCTTTGCTGACGATGGCTTAAACCAGTAACTACGTTAAAGGAAGGGGGTTCGCTTGTTTTAGCACAGAACTAGCAAATACACAAAATGTGGTTAACTTGCATCCATGCTAATGGCTTAAGAGCACTGAGGACATTCTAATAATTTACTTAAACGTGCAACCCCATTTCCAAAAAAGTTTGGATGCTGTGCAAAATGTAAATAAAAACAAAATGGAATGATATGCAAATGATTGAATCCCTATATTTCATTGAAAATAGTATAAAGACAACACATCAAATGTTGAAACTGAGAAATTGTATTGTTTTTTTGAAAAATATAGGCCATTTTGCATTTTATACCAACAACATGTTCCAAAAAAGTTGGGATGGGGGCAACAAAAGGCTGGTAAAGTTGTGTAATGCTAAAAAAACAACTGGTGGTTAATTGGCAACAGGTCAGTAATATGACGTCTTTCAGAAGTAAAGATGAAGTCGTTCACCACTTTATGAAAGACTGCACGAGCAAATAGTGCAACAACTCAAGAATAATGTTCCTCAATGTAAAATAGCAAAGAACTTTTGTTTTTCATCATCTACAGTACAGAACATTAAAAGATTCAGAGAATCTGAAGAAATCTCTGTATGCAAGGGACAAGGCCAAAAAACAGTATTTGCTGGCCATGATCTTTAGGCCCTCAGGCGGCGCTGCATTAAAAACAGACATGATTCTGTAGTGGAAATCACTGCATGGGCTCAGAAACACTTCTGAAAACCATTGTCTGTGAAAACGGTTTGTTGCTGCATCCACAAATGCAAGTTAAAACTCTAAAATGCGAAGAAGAAATCATATATATAAACAGGATTCAGAAACACTGACACCTTTTCTGGGCCTGAGCTTATTTAAAATGAACTGAGGCAAAGTGGAAAAGTGTCCTGTGCTCCGACAAATCAAAATTTTAAATTTTTTTGGAAATCATGGACACTGTGTCCTCTGGGATAAAGACCACTCAGCTTGTTATCAGCACACAGTTAAAAGCCAGTATTCATGATGATACAGGAGTGCATTAGTGCACATGGCATGGGTTACGTGCACATCTGTGAAGGCACCATTAATGCTGAACGCTATATATACATGTTTTGGCAACATATGCTGCCATCCATACAACGACACCCACTGAAAATATTTGCTGCATTATGAAATGAAAAATACGACAAAGGAGACCCCGAACTGTTGAGCAGCTGAAATCCTATATCAAACAAGAATGAGAAAGCATTTCACTTTTAAAACTACAGCAATTGGTCTCCTCAGTTCCCAAACACACAGAGTGCTGTTAAAAGAAGAGGTGATGAAACACAGTGGTAAACATGCCCCCATCCCAACTTTTTTGGAACGTATTGTTGGCATCAAATTCAAAATGGGCATATACTTTTCAAAAAACAATAAAATCTCTCAGTTTCAACATTTGATTTGTTGTCTTTGTAGTATTTTTCCTTTAAAAATATGGTTTACATGATTTAGACATCACTGCATCCTATTTTTATTTACATTCTACACAGCGTTTTTGAATGGGGTTGTATTTCTTTAAATGAGTAAGTTCAGAAAAGTTCATGATTTAAATGACAAGTGACCTTGTCAGTCAATGCCACAATATCATTGAAAATAAAGATTTCCATTCTTGCTGAATATGTGACTTTCAGGTTGAATGTGTTCTGGTTACAGGGTTGACTGACTATAATGAGTACATGTAATTGTTGACTTATGAAAAACGTATCATAATATTGTTGAAGAGTGTCTGATTATATTTCAAGGTAAAGTGCAGAAAATGTTGTTTTCTAAGTGCTGTATACAGCTAAGATAGTAAAGTCATTTATATGAAACATGCACGTTATATACGTTTGTAAACATAATATCAGTGGGACACAAATGGAAGCCCATTTCTCTCTCTCTCTCTCTCTCTCTCTCTCTGACACACACTCAGACCCCCACACAGAGTTCCAGACCACTCCGAATATGTCACATCTTTCTTTATTAATTTCTGTAAATGGTCTGAGCTGGTGTGCAGGGTAAATGATCTATACACATCTTCATGTCAGAATGAATCTGATTAAAAGGCTTGTATACATATTCATGTTTGTTTTTCTTCTCTCCATAACAATAAAAAAAGAAAAGAAAACAAGTCCAAATAGCTACAAAGCCTCTACATTCCCCATGATATGGGCATGTTCATATAACTCGATTCTAGCTAGTATGCTTAAAGTACATCCATAACAACTCTAATAAGGGTGCATAGCATTCTAATTAATATATATATTTATATTTTTTGTCATATATTTATACATATATTCTTTATTAAAAACATCTTTTCTGTGCATGTGTGCAGTTGCATTCCTTAGTACAGAGTAATATGATATTGCGTTAATATTGTCGTTTATCCATTCTAAAGGAGTATAGGTGAACTCTAGATTTTTGCAACAGTAACATTTTACATAAACTCATTGTAATACATCATAATTGTAATGTCCTTTCATACTGCGTGCCCTTTTTTAAAAAGGACACCATGTCCTCGCCCTCCCCCCACTCAGCCCTCAAACCCCCTGCATACGTCAATGGACGATCCTTTAATTTAACTGGACCAGCTCAAACATTAGATGAGTCCGAGCAAGTCTGACCGATATCCATCACATATTTAATTCTGCAGTAACTGCTGCCCCTTGCCCACACCCCAAAGCCCCTCAAATGACAATACTCATGTTCCTGTAGATGGTCATACTGTAGGATTAATCTCTGAATGGGTGTCGATACGTGGAAGAAAAAAATCATTGGTTAACACAAACCTGAGTGAACTGTAGAGAAAAAAACTAAGATTACAGTCAGTGGAAGTGAGGAAACACACAGGGAACATAGCATCACTCATTCACCACAGAATTAGGACTTTAGCTTAAAATACAATCACTTTTTCCATTAACCATAGATTCGTAGATCTGTTCACTTTTTTTTTTTATGGACAAGGACATTCATTCATCCATCCATCCATTCATCCGTTCATTCACTCACACTAAACTGTTACAAATGTGTTTAAAACCTGTTTTCTTCAAAACAGAAAAAAATAAATGCTCATGTGAATATGTAAGCGTCTGTGCTACATTTGAGTACTGAGCTGAGTTTCAGCCATCAAGTCATATAAAAACTAAGTCTTATGGATTACGCAGCCAACAAAGCTCCCCCTCCAGCTCGCAGCCTTAAGACATCGGTATGTGGAGTCCGTTCAACGAACCTAAGTCGGTATGAAAGTCACATGCTTGCATACTGAGTGACTTTTTGTATTCATGCATGTACTGATATCACTTGGACTGTATAAGTCTTAGAAATGCTACTCAAATGTTGGGTGTATACAATAAATACTGAACACAGGCTCACACGCACCCACGCACACATACATACACCCAACTGTTACCATGTTTGATATTATTGCTTTGGTAGTTTAAGCGTAAATAGTTTGCTTGGGATCTCCTCAAAATTCACTATGCAGTAAATCAACAAATGAATGTAAAGATGCACGTGTGATAGATATAATTACAAAGAATGTCTGCTTTACTGTATATTAATAGATCTGTATGGGTATGTGTTGGTGAGACATATAAAGCCAAACAACAACAGACAGTTGTGAGTTCACAGTTCAGGGGTCAATTTCAAGGTGGACTATCACAGTGCTGTCTGTATATATTTATCTGTCTATGCTTACTGTACATCTACATGGATGTTACTGCAAATTTAAAACATCAAAAGATTTAAAACACTCTCTCTTCAACTGAAATGTTGTCCTGCCTTGTACATATTATATTGGCAGTAACTCAAAGTGCGCACCAGAACCCTGTGCGTCTCTGCTACAAACTTTCGTTAGTCAGTAAGGGTCAAAACAATAATGCCCAGGAAATGAAGGATGAGTGTGGGCCCCAGGGCAGGCCCATAGAGAAGCATGAGGAGCAGCGCGCAGTGCTACATCAGTCACTGGAGTCAGTCCATTGGAGCTGAGTACACAGACTACAGATATGGATGGCTCAATGGGTGGGGGGCATAAAGGGAGAGAAAGAGAGAGGGAGAGAGGGAGAGAGGGAGAGAGAGCAACAGACAGAGAGGCAGACTCCTAAAGAGAGATCAGAACATAAAGATAGCATAAGAAAGCGAGAGAAATATAGAGCAAAAAGAGAGAAAGACACTAAGATAGATAAAACAGAGACAGAGAGAGCAAGAGAAAGAGAGGCATAAAGAGGAGAGAAAGACAGACAGACAGGCGAAGATATATATATATATATATATATATATATATACATACCTTCGCCTGTCTGTATATATACACGCACACACACACACACACACATATATATATATATATATATATATATATATATATGTATATATACATCTATATATATATACATATATACATAAAGAATAAATAAAGAAAAACAAAGAAAATAAACATAAAGAGAGAGAGAAAGAGAAGGAATAAGACAGAGACAAAGATTGAGGAGAGAAAGATGGCAAGAGCAACAAAACGTGAGGCAGGCTCAGAGAGAGAGATACAGAGCTTAAAGAAAAGACAGACACCTACAAGAGAAAAACAGACACAGAGATAGGGAGAGAGAGAGATAGAGAGACAGTCACTATAATAGTGGTGAGGGACATTGGGGTGTTGCACTGGCACAAACAGACCGACAGACATATTATATCGAATGTTCCCTCTTCTTAGGGGGCACCCTTTTGATTCTAACCAGGTAGTACATAAACAAAACGTGGCGGACTGTATCAAAGGAACACAAACACATTTCACGAAGGGGATCGAAAAAAGCCTGGAAAGACACACACACACAGACACTCACAAGCAGAGAGCACAGCGAGCTTATTCTCATTCACACACTGAACGGCTCTCAACGTGGCAGGAGAAGAATGCTCAGTGCCAAGCCAGAAGCGAGTTACACATGCTTTAGATAACGGACACACACACGCACACACGGACACACATTCACATAGCATAGAGTGCATATAGTCACAATTAGTAACAGGATAAAGGGCCCATGTAAATGAAGCAGTGATGGGCTCAGCATAGGCTACGCTGCTTTGTGTTTGTTGAGGAAAAGAAGAACTGTTGCTTTTTTTGGCTGTGTTGTCCCGAGACGACCCTCTTTTTCAGTTCAACTCCTTCCTTTTTTGGAATGAAGGTCCGCAAGTTCTGTGCGGTCCTGCGATGATGGTCCTTTACCATGTACCATTTCAGTTTATAGATAATGACAGCTCAAAGGTCATAGGTCATGCACCAGCAATCAATCATGCGTTTACAGTTGACAGGAAGCACTTTTGTTTGATTTTTTTGTGGTATTTTTTTCTTCATCTTTTGTACAAAAAGATCATGCCCTACGCTAGTTGTATGTTTTTTTTTCATTGTTGTTAAAAATGATACAAAACTACAGGTAGATCTCCTCCTTTTCTCAAGCGCTGCCCCGCGGTCGTTTTTGTCGGGTTTTTTTGGGGGAGTAGTAGAGGGTGGGATGTGTTGTCATTTTCCTTCATTTAGTGCTTTTTCTCCCATCGTCCTGCCTTTCGTGCACCCCTCGTCTCGTTCTGTCTCCCAAGTGTGTCTGGGTGAAGGATGGTTTGGCAGTGGATGTCCGGCCCTGGAGAACAGCACAGGAAGAACTGCACTTAATAAAAAAGAAGTACTTTACCAATCTGTCCTTAAAAACCTGCCCTCAGCCTTAAGCATTGGATTGATGGCGTTTGTTAGAGAACCACGGCTAAGATATGCTGTCGCCTACTTTTGACTTGATGCCTGTCCACTGTGCATATCTGTTAATGGGCTGTGACTTAGAAATAGGGCTAAGATGCGCTGTCGCCTGCCTATGACTTTGTGCTAGTTAATTTTCTATGTCTATTAATGAACTGTGACAGTCCAGTCCTGCTCTGTCTGTCCCATACCTTCAGGACAGTATGTGTTAGTTTCAGTGCTTTACTCTCCGCAGACTGGCGTGCTTCACAGCCTGCGCTCCCCTCTTCACATCCACACCCAGCTAGAGCAGGGAAGGAGGGAGGGAGGACAGGGAGGGGGGGGAGAGACGGCCTCAGAAATACTGACATAATCCGTCCGAAACTAATGGGGTTATAACTAGGGCTGGGAGAAATAAAATTATACAACACAGTATCGCAGTACTTTGAAAAAATAGCAGCGATACATGGAGGACCAAGTATCAACATTTTATTACTTAAAAACTAATATTTCGACCATGTATTAGGCCCACTGGTAGAACATAGGGTACCAAAATGCTTTAGAACACCACTGTAATACTAAACAAAGTCCTCGGCAAGACTCCTAAAGCTACATGGTTCTGAACAAGAGAGTCTGCTAAATGTGTAAATGTAGGAGAACGTTGCTCCGTCTACTTCACAATTATATTTTGTAAATAATATAGATGGAAATTTTGCAATGATAATTGTACCATGGGATCTTCAGTGATTCCCACCCCTAGTTATAACATCAGTGAGCATCTTTATCCGCTAAACCTTCAACAAAACAAACAGAGGCACCTACTTTGTTCATGACGTTGCCGTGCTCATCAGTGAACTGCTCCTCCCTCAGATGTTCACTGGTGAACTCTACTGGCTCATCTCTCTGTAAAAAAGAAGTAGCCGGGTGTTATGTTTCTCATTAGTTAAATGCTCATGCTGAAATAAGTACACCACTCTGCAGAGAAGATAAGCTTTCTGCTTTAGACTGGACAGGCCAGGGGACACACCTGTGCCTTCCGTCTGTCCTGGTCCCACACCCGCAACTCCCCCTCCTGGTGGGAGAAGCCCAGCCCTTTCTCAAAGGGCTGAGTGCCCAGGAGCCTCCCACGCAGGACCTCCGAATGGCCCGTGTCACATACCGGCGTCAGCAGGGCTTCTTGTGCCACACGCGGCTGGCTCTGCTCCCGTCCAGATGACCCCGCCGCCTGTCTGCCTTTGGACTGGGACCAGCTGTGCAGGGACTCAGAAAACGCCTCCTTCTCCTGGACATACGGCTGAAAAGCACCGCTGCCTAGCCTGAGACAGAAAGGACACGCACAGAAATTATTAAACGACCACTAATATTTCTTTTTGGAGTATCATTAAAATTTTTAATTTTACTTTTACTTGTGCTTATTTCTAATAAAGTATTTGAATTAGCTATTTTTAAATGCTCTCTTTTCACAACTCAGCTTCTAACTGAGTCTAATTAATCTCATCTTAATTGCTTCTGTGCTCTTTTGCTATTTTCTTTAGATTTTGTCATTTTACAATAATAAGCACAACAGCTCTTGATTACACCCAAACCCAAATCTTATTTGGTGTTCTTAGCTAGATAGTGTGTAGTTAGCTAGATCTGTGAGCTAATGTTCAAGATAAGCTATTGGACAGCTTAAGTTAACCTAATAAAAACTGTGAAAACTGCCTTTGTGCAGGGCAAATATTAATTTAAAGGAACTCAAAGTAAATACTTTATAGTGGTTTAAATAAATTACTTATTAAAGTAATTTTCTTCATTAACATATTCACAGTCATGTGCAAACATTTGATTACATGTTTATGAATAAAATGTTCTGTAGATTTTATAAGTGAAAATAAGTTGACACATTCTGTACAGGAAACATTTTGCACAATAGTAATTAGTTCACATATTTAGTTTAACATACCAGAAAAATAGAACATAAAAAGGCAACAATTTGTGTTTTATTTTTTCCCAACATGTTAAATTAAGCAATTAAACAGTAACTGTGCATTAATATGTCCAAAAGTGTGTTCTCTGTAGATGTTTATTTATTTTCACAAAACATGTCATATAACAGGGGCACCTAAACTTTTCCATACAACTGAACAAGCTAGAGTGATGACATTTACTCTGCATCTGTTAAACAGGGCATCATTTCACCTCAGGAGAAACTACTGACAAAAATGATTTTGTTTCACTTTTCAGATGTACAGTATTTTTTCTATAGGTGTCAGTGCCTATATGAATTAAACTTAGCTAGCTAGCATTAAAAGTATACACACAGCTGTGAGTTATTAGCTTTACTTAGCTAAATAGATATCCAACACCAGTTATTTCACAGATTTAATCTATTTATGGAAATATAGATTTACTTGACTAACTCAGCAGATCAAAGTGAGCTGATGTTATCATTTTTGTGTACTTTGCAGTTAACTTTCCGGGCACTTAGCTTGGCGACTGCTAGCCTGCTAATGTCTTGTAAAGTTAACCTGTTAGCTTGCATTATCATTTAGACCATGCAGTTTGAGGCTGAGATGGCACAACAATCAGATCCTTTCATTTTCTACAGGAGGGATGTCAAACTCAACCACTACAAGGGCCAATTTAAAAATCTCAATCTCAATTTAAAACAAATCTATGGGCCAGAGAATGACTATGTTTTTATTCAATTTTTAAATAACATTTTGCTATAACCCGAAGTGGCCATTGTTTATTCAAAATACGCCAAAACATCAACTGCAAAACATAGGCACTTGTAGTAAACCTTGAAATATTACAATTAACAAAAAAATGTTTTAGACCTATCTTTGTGTTTGACCTAGACACCTGCCATCTTTTCTTTGCTGCAAGTTTATTAATTCTTGCAATTGATTACTGAGCTGCTGAACTGAGTGTTTATATTGGTGCTGCATGGTGAAAAGGGCTGATATTTGTAGAAAATCAAAAAAAAAAAAATGTATGGGCCAGATAGTATTGTGCAGTGGGCCTGACCTGACCGACAGGCCTTGTGTTTGACATATTGATTCTGTAGGCAACAAATCTTATTGTTGCTTGGTAGCTTAGAGTCTTTGGCTACTCTGTACATAGCTATGTTGTTTAATATCTACTGAGTTAGTGATGTTGTTTAAGTTAACTAGTTGTTTGTTGTTTGTGTGAGAGTTGCTAGCTCTACATTTAGTCAGTTTGCTAGCTTGCCTGTTCTTTTTTCTCTAAATTCTAATGAAATAAACATTGTGTCACCATATAGCCCATTAAAATGCAGTCTGAATAATCCACTTAATCCATTAATGTATTTATTGTCGCACTGCTCATAATTCTATGTAAAATATTTTGTTTATTAAAGGTGATGGGAAATTGGTAAGATGTACACAAGATGTTCTGGCTCTTTTGCTATAGGAGTAATAGGACAGATTGAGTTGGGACAGAATTTGCTGGTTAGGGTTAAATTTATGTTTTTGGGGCAGATTTTAGAATCTCACACAGTGAAGTGGTACGGTGTAGTGGGTAACAGACCAGAGATTGGCAAGATTCCTAATACTACTTGTGCTTACTTCTGTAATATGATTAAAATGGAAGTTGCGGTTGGGTTAAAATGTCTGCTAAATCCCATAAATGAGCAGTGAGAGGGTGACCAAGGCACAGTACTTCCAAAATCAGCTGAGCAAGAGATATTTAAGGTAAATACCTTCTTCTAAGACCAACCCACTCATAAGGATGTCAAAATAAAAGAAGGACTGCAGAAGCAAAACTGAGATTTCCAAAAAACGTATCAGCCATGGAAAGAAAGAAAAAAGTGAACAAATACTGGCAAAATATTAGTGAAAATGAGCATCATATTTAATTTTGCAATTTGATAATATTTTGCTTGTAGACATTTTTAAAGTCTTGGCCCAAAATAAACTCCATAGGGCAGTGCTGCTGAATTTCCTCACCTGTCTCCGTTGTGCTCTAGTGCTCGGGTCAGGCCGGTCCTCTCACACAGCTGAGCATATATCTGCTGCCCTGTAAGAACAGAAAACTTTTCCTCTGAGCTTGCAATTGCCCCTCCTCCACCTGCACCTCCTCTAGCTCCCCCTGCCATACTGCAGCCCGCCACCACCTCTGCTCTCCTGCCTTCCGACCTCTGACCTCCAACCTGCCCGTTAGGGTTGGCTTTGGGGATGGCACCCCCAGCTACTGGATCGTGCTGCATGTCCTCTTCATCCACCTCCTCTTCCTCTTCCTCCTCCTCCTCCAGCTCCATGATAGATCCGCTGGCCCCGCTTGCGCCGCTGCTGGGACGTCCCAAGCTGCTGCAGGGCAGGCTCAGCGTGTTAGCCTCTGAGTCGTCTGCCCGGCTGCTGCCGTCCAGAGATGAGTCCTCCACGGTCACCAGGGATGGACTGACGCCCGCCGGCCAAACCTGAACGTCCGACATCTCCAGCATGGCCTCCTCCTCGGTGGGGGCAATGGGGGCGCACTCCAGGCTTGACACCTCCTGCCAGTAGGGCTCCACGCCCAGTGGTGAAGGCAGGCTGTACTGCATGGAGGCCGGTGAGAGCAGCTCCTCCTGCACCAGCCCGTAACCTGGGGAGCGGTCAGACAGAAGAGGCAACGCTAACACCACACAGAAAAAAGGGGAGTGTGGGTGGGCCTGAATCTCTCTCAGTGCAGAAGTGGTTTGTGGTGTGTCATAACAAAACCTCGTTAACTACTTCAATCTCAAATTTCACCATGATTTGGTTATTTTGGTACAATTCAGAACTACCTTTAAAAATAAACAGAATTGGAGCTCCCAAGTGGCACAATCATCTATGGGTTTGCTCTACCATCAGGAGATCCTGAGTTCAAATCTCCACAATGCAGGCACAATCCTGAACCCACTGCTCCAATGGCTCATACTTACAGGAAGTAAGTGCTCCTCATAGACCTGCATTGATTTTCGCAGATGCTTCTTCTTAAGGATATGCCTCAGAATAGAATGTACTTTTTGTTTTCTGCAGAGCACAGCATCTGATCTTCTGTAATTTAATGCATGTTTCTTTAAATAAGTCTTTGTTTTTTATTTGTATGGTTCCAGTAATGTTCATTTTCACTGGAATCTCTATGGGAATCAGCATATAACATCTGTATCAAGGTGTACTTTCACTTCCCCACACTGAATTTAATACCACTCTACATTAACAAGGACATTTAAAGCTGGTCAGACACACACATAACATATTCTTGGTTTTGCAGTTTTGAGTGAATTCTTCAGTAAATATTTCAACATAAAAGCCTCGCTCTCGGTGTTCCAGATGGAGCATCTTAACCTGTCTGCTATCTGAGCCAAGCTGGTCAGCTAAGATGTAGTATGGTTTCAGACATTTTACTTCACGTACATGTAGTTTGTAACTGCAAACATAAATTTATGTGCACTCCTGCATTCACTGCAAGTCTAGGTCGCACACTCTGTCCAAAAACTATATATAGTTTCAAGATAATGTACAATTTGTTTATTTATTTTTATTCCAAACAGCACAAGCCTTTCTTAGATACGCAAAGCCATACGAACACTGATCGAGATGAGTTTGCTATACATAAAACAGTACAGGCAATAAAAACGGTATACATTTTTAAATAGTATGTTTGAAAACAGCTTGAGAATTTGATTTTGGCCAAAAAAATTAGAAAATACTTTTCTTCCTTTTTCTATCATAACTGATTCCAGCCATTCCATTGTTCAGTCTTCACTTTAAGCCTGACGTGATGATAATAAAATAATGCACTTTTCTAGTGTTTTTTTAAATATATATTTTACACCATTTGAAAATGCCAGCTATCCACTGAGTAATGTTTCATGAAACATGGATCAACAGAAAATGTGAAAAGCAAATTTTTTACATTTACATTTGAGGTGAGAATGCTTTATTATTCTTATATAAAGTTACTTTTTCTGGGATACGAGGTTGTCTTATGACACTGATGATGTGCTTTAGGGTGTAGTGGAGGTAAGGAAAGTCTGGCTATTCACTCCAAAGAACCTCCTAGAAACCTGCAGACTAGCAGTGAGGGGTTAAGAGAGGGTGCGATAGGGCAGTTTGGGATGCAGGCCCTGCATTCTGCAGAAACGCATAAAAATTAATTATTCATACATACAACACACAACTGAACACTGCCAAACTCTCTCCTCAAACAAGCAAACATATATTTTACATGTTATATATTTTATATATTTCAAATTCCTTTTTATATCATATGACTTTAGAAGAACTCTCTCTCTCTCTCTCCTTCTCTCTGTTTACAAAATAAATGCTATATGAATATGTTATATGAATATGTTATATTGAACATGTAATTCTCATCACAACAGCAAAACTGCTTTGTTTCACGTAAACAGAACACAGTAGTATCGAAAAATCTAGCATTCTCCCAGCTTGCAACCTTATACCATTAACTGCTTCAGTGGGGTCACTGCATGTGTTAATCCTGGGGCAATATTCATTCTTCATCTTAAACATTTAATATAGAACTACACTGATTTGAAATGGATAGTGACGAACTCCACACACACCGAGTTTCTAGGGCAGAAAAAAACTGATTATCAATTTTCCTATTTCACTTTTTGTTAAGAAAACATTTATGCATGTTAAATTTCTGTGCGTAATGTCAACGCTAAGAGTAAAAATAGAAAAAAAGTGCTAAGACACTGCAAATCAATGTTGGTTTTACTTTAAATAACTTTCAGACAGTAAACCTCAGATTTATATCAAGTATTGAGAGTCAGAGACCGCCCTTCATTTATTTAATTTTCCAATTAAAATGACCTAATTATCAAAACTAAATTTGATATAATTTTTTTTCAGCATTTAGTGTGTCCACCATTTGCCTTTTTTATAGATTCCATTCTTTTCAGTAGATGTGCTTTCAGTTTTTCAAAGATTTTTCAAAAACCTGCAGGGATATTTTTCCATACCTCCAAAGTTCAGTGTTAGAAGTTGGTTGCATGTTCTGCTTCTCTGCGATCCAAGTAATCCTAAACACCTTCAGTGATGTTGAGGTCTGGACTCTGGAGTGGACAGTCCATTGTTCTGTCACCAGCAGCTTCTTTGTTTTATTTGCAAATTGTCTTCTTTTTTGTCTATTTCATTTTCTCAGTAATGGTTTCTTGACAGCTACACATCCTTTTCAGACCCTTAGCATTGAGTTGTCTTCTCACAGCGCAAGGATGGACAGAAACACCTAAAGGATTTTTTCGGTGAAGCTTGAATTTCTCCTCCTCATTTTATCTCTCAAAGACGAAAGCTTTACATTCTGTTTATCTGATGGTGACAGATTTGGTGGTCTGCTAGGTATTGCAAGGTTGTTGTGAGTAATATTTTTAATATCTTCTCAGAACTTCATTTTTTTCACTTGTATTCCTTTGACTTTTCCCTTCCTTATGCAAGTAGTTTTGTCTTATGTCTAATCGCCTCAGAAATATCTCCTGAAAAAATCAATAACTTCTATTTAATGCCCATTTTGACTGGAAATTAAATAAATGAATGTTAGTCTCTGACTTTTGCAAATGAATGTACCCTATGTAGTACATTCAGATGTAAGATAAAGGTAAAATGTTGCCTTTGCTGTTTCTGCTCCCTTAGCTGTAAAAGAGCCTCAGAGCCTCTGCTTAGAGGAGCTCCTTCAAAGGTCTCAGGCCAAAAAAATTTCCCACAATTTCTTTCCAGTGTAACATTTGTTTATAAAGTTCTGTGTCCTCTTGTCCTTTGACTTGGAATTATGTAAATATAGTAAATGCCAAATGACTCTTACTACTCTGCAGTTTGTTAAGCCAACAGAAATGGTACGGAAACATAGATGAAATGCTGAGAGTGTATGTGAGCAGAAATAAAAGTAAAGCAGGAAGAATGAAAAGCATGAGAAGCATGAGAGAGTTTTCAAAGACCTTCACTGTGCCTCCTGTTATGAGCACACACAGGTGAGCAAGAAGCGCTGCGGATTGTGAGGCGAAAGAATCAATGTTCACTCAAATACTCAATAAACACAACACACAGGCACACAACACCACTATGGATATGAGGTGAACATATCAATGTACTGAGATGTGTCAGTATACACCCAAATTACTAGTCATTAGATACAGAAACACGCACAAACATAACATAATTATGAGCTTATGAACACTATCGATACACACACACAAAGCACACCACTGGTAAAGATAATAAACAGATGTTAATGTTAAAATCCTTCAACTTGCAGTTTACACTACACACACACTCACGTACACACAACGGCTGTACTCACAAGTCACAGTATTTGGATGTTTAGTAAACAAGCAACCAGTGTTGGGGGTAACACAGTAATGTGATTACTTTTCATGGAATTAAGCAGTGTAATGCAATACTGTTTCAATTCTTGCAATCACACCACAGTGACTGATTTAATAAGAATTATGCTACTTCGTTACTTATTTTTCTCTGAAAGAACATGTAAATTATCCATGACGGACCTTGCATGTAATTTGTGCGCACATATGGAACCTGCATTGTAAACTCAGTCTAATTTGTCTGTCTATCTGTCTAACCCTGCTAATATGAACCTGATGGATAAAGATCCCTGTGCTGAACTAGGGGCAGGCAACATAATGATATTTTATCATTATCATGATAAATTACATCTTAGAGAACTGACCAACTACATGTTTCCTAGTAAGCATAACTAGTCCTGTTTAACTGAACTTAATGCAGCATTGCTTGAAGTGAATTTGATAAAATGCTGCACAAATTCATTGTACTTATTTTTCAGTATGGCACTACTGGCCACACTGCCTACTTTTTTGGTCCAGTCCAACTTACGAAACATAAGAAAAACAAAAAATACTGTGATATGTATTGTGTATAGTGAAAATGTCCTGAAGTAGTGTTGTTATATTTTTGCCATATTGCCCAACCATTAAGCCGAACTTGATTTTCATTCAGAAACAGCTCTGTAAGCTTTACAATTTATTCACAGGGATTTTATTCTGAAGCAGCTCTTTCTGGACTATTTCTACTAGCTAATTTCTAGGTTATAAAAAGGATTAGGCATTCATTATTTTAATTCATTATTTTCTTCGTTTTTTTTTAATAAAAGTATAAATAGATGTGTCTTGTTTAAGGCAGAGATAGTGACAAGGCTTTTAAATATTGTTTAAAAGCTCTGTTTCATTTCTTCCTAAACAAATGACTGAAAACTTCTCAGTTGGTACAGATGCGTTTGGGTGTTATATAGAGTAATGTAAAGGTAAATTAATGAGTAGTGAGATTACTTTTTTCCAGAAACAAGAGAGGTTATTAGTAATTTGTTATAGATTACTTTTCTGAAATAGATTACTGACCCAACACTGCTAAAAATATCCAATCACAATTCAGTACTAGTTATGTAATTTTCATTTTTGCCACAAGGGGTCACTACTGGTTACAGCATTCAGTGATCTTGTGATTTCAGCCCAATAACATTAGCCGCTGTACCCTGCTTTTGAAAACTGTGTCACACAAATAAAGGTCCAGCACACACACATACACACACACACACACACACACACACACAAACACCTTCCTTTCCCACATCATTAGTCACTAATACATCAGTTGACATAACGTTCTAAAAACACTTCTGTAACATGATACAGTCACAGAGACATTTTTTGAGAGTTATGTAGGGTAGTTTTGAGGGTACAGCAATGGCAGAATTTGTCAAAACCACATCAAAATGTTTACCAATTGTTAGAACAGTCAATATACAGAAATCCAAATTCAAACAATGCCACCAAACCGGAAACTGGAAAATTGTACATAGAAAGCATGCCATGCATACACAAGTTTGTTATTGTGGGGGGGGGGTGAACAAAAAAAATAAAAAGACCTTTTTATTTGTGCTGGTGCTTCCCTGCAAACACATGGTCTCCCATAGCAAGACAAGAAAATAGCAAACCAAGCAGCATGCACATGCACACAGACACAGCAAGTACGTCACAGGTGGAGAGAAAAGGCCCTTTTCCACAAAACAGGACCAAGAGAGAAAAGCAAAAACTAAGATGAGAGGAGGCAGGAGGCCCAGAGGAGGTCAACATGAGGTTGTTATGAGGTCAGAGGTCGAGGAGGAGAGCTGTGAGGAGGAATAGTAGGGCGGCTGGGCTGCAAATGACATGTCAGTAGATACAAAGAGAGAGAGAAAGAGAGGGGCAGGTACAGGAATAATTTTGGAGGCCTACTGTATGCTCCTTTGAGAGGGAGAGTTCTTTGGGTTAGTGACTCTTTCATGCATGCAAGTTTTCACACTCCTTATCGTCACATATCCAAACACATGTAATGGAAATTTCCCATGGGTTAAATGTTTCTACCTTATGATCATGACATATACTGGCTGGGACGCCCATTATATTTTACATTTTACATTCCTCTGAAAACCTGACCATGCTCAGCCCACAAATGCATTCCTTCACATCTCCTCTTGCTAGGTTTGGCCAACTTCAAAGAATGCTGGCTAAAAATCCCAATCAACCTAATGAGAAATGTGCGCAGCATGCTACTCAGGTTACTCTATCAGTCTGAAGTAGCCAACGTTCTATTCTATGCTGTGATCTGTTGAAGGAGCACCACCACTGCAGGGGAAGGAAACAGCCTTAATAAACTAATTAGAAAAGCCAGTACCACCACAGAACTCAATGTCCGGACTCAATGGAGGCAAGGAGTAGACACTGCTTATTGCCCAGTGTCCCTGGGCACAACATTTTACATTTTGGCCACACTGTAAAAAATAAATAAATAAATAAAATTAACTGTCAAAGTACCATTAAATGTAATGGTCAACACCCATTTTAAAAAAAGGTGAAATGCATGTAATTATCACCTTTATTTTAGACACATTTGCATTTATCTTAATGGTTGTTATTGTTATTATTATGGTAAAATATTATGTCATATTATAATATATGATAATATATTATCATATATTATGTACATATCATAATATAATAGCCAGTTGAACTGGTTAAACTGTTGAATTACAGCAAAAAGCAACATTTCTAAGAAATTAAATGAATGTAATTTTACAAATGTTTACCAAAACTGAGAAAACATACTTTTACTGTTAATTAATTGGTTTTGTCAGTGTGTTTTGCTGGTATGCGAGGATGAGACGCAGCAGTGCTGCTGGAGTTTTTAAAACCCTCAGTGTCACTGCTGGACTGAGAAAAGTCCACCAACTAAAAACATCCAGTTAACAGCATCCTGTGACCACTGATGAAGGACTAGAGGACTAACACAAACTTTGCAGCAATAGATGAGCTATCTACAAGGCGCATCAACAAGGTAGGTGTGTCTAATAGAGTGGACAGTAGGTAGACACAGGGTTTAAAAACACTAGCAGCACTGCTGTGTCAGATCAATTCACACCAGAAAAACACACACTAACAAACCACCACCACTTCAGTGTCATTGCAGTGCTGAGAATGATCCACCACCCAAATAATACCTGCTTTATGTTGGTCCTGTGAGGGTTCTGACCATTGAAGAACAGGGTGAAAAAGGAGCTAACAAATTATACAGAGAAATGGACTACAGTCTGTATTTGAAGAACTACAAAGTGCACCTATATGGTAAGTGGAGCTGATAAAATCGACAAAGAGCGTAGATACAAGGTAGGTATACTTAATGCAGAGGTCGATCGGTGTATTTGACAACCATGTTTCTATTACTGTGGCCACAAATTCTTAAGTTTGGCCTAAAGGTTCTTTAGCTTAATGGCCTGAATGGACAGTGCTATTTTGCACATTTTGAACAACTCCACTCCATGCCATAATATAAAGAAGCACCTTCAGTCACTGACCCATTCCATCCAGATGTTCTGAGAGGTGCTATTAGGGATCTTTTTGGCTGATTAACACCAGTCTCCACAATACATCCTCAAAGTGTGTGACCTCATCATGTCTCTCAGAACGAACAATATGATGATGTCTACAAACAAATAATGAGTCACTTTAATATTTTTCCCTTATTTTAATGTTCTTCCACATTAACTAAATACCTCACGACCCACACACCACTGTGTGTGAATGTTTTAGTCAATGTTGTGTTTCTGCTCTTGTCTTGTTTGTGCATTGATGATCTGTATTGTGTGTGTGTGTAAATATGTGTAGTATATGTAATTTGGTGTATTTCAATCTGTGTTCTTCGGCTACTGTAATACCCAAATTTCCTCCTGGGGATCACTATCTACTACCAGAGTTGTTATACAGCATTGAGTCTTTAGTTTTAAATGCTATACTCTCAAGTTGGACTATGTTGTTATAATTACCGGACAATGATTACTTTGCTGCCATACTAATGTGAACTTCATTACACTAAAAAACAAACAAAAATTATAAAAAATAAAAAACAAAAATTTAATTTAAAAGTACTGCACACTAAATTTAGGCGTGTTCTGACTGGATGCTACAATTTCTCTTTTAGCTGACTGGGATCTTTGCCAACATTCTGTAAAGCTTGTCTGACAGTTGCTAAGACAGAATGCATTTGCTGATGGAGAATGTAACGGTGAATTTCCTGTAAAAACAGCCAAGGACAATATTACTGAATTCTCATTTTATTTGTGAGCATTCTGACTAGTCAGAGCATTGAGAAACATTCCTACACTGCAGCCCTTCCTATACAAAATTCTTTTCATGCTTTAGCTCTATGTTTTTGACATGAGCACTTGTGCAGATATCTGCTTCAGTGCATGCTTTCTGGTCATTTGGTTTTGAAAGAGGACCATGGAACACTAGTTGCCACGTCACAATAGCTATTATAAACCCTGCAGCGGTGAATCATCTAAAAATCACCTCAAGGTGCAACCCATTCTTACCATTAATCACACTGGGAGACAGCATGGTGGAGTCGCGCTCAGCCAGCCTGCAGGCCCCCTCCTCTCCAGCCTCCGGTACAGCCTGTGGAGCCTGAGCCTCTAGAGACTTCACAATGTCTGACCGGTCGATGTTCTTCAATGCTCCATACAAGTTCTCCACTATGGTGAAAGGGTCATCAGGTTTACACTCACAAGTACAATCGCATGCATTATGTAAATGGAAAAAGATACCATTTAAAAGTTTGAAATCAATGTTTTTAATAATACAAATCCAATTTGATTGTCAATGATCCTAATATGTCAGTCCTGTGCAACTCCTGTGCAGGTTTCAAATAATTAGAAAGATAAGAAGCTGTAAAAATATCAAGAAACTTTAGCTGTGTAGAATAATAAACTTAGCAGTAGAGAAAACTCTATAGCACTGAGAATGAAGTTACGGCAAAATTAACATCCCAAATGCCTCATATTTCAAAGTGATGATTAAATCTCAAAGCAGATAAATTACAGAATTAGATTATTGTATGCAAATAGAATAGAAATCTATACACATAGATAAGTCCAGCATTATATTTATCATTTAATAACTTCTTGTTATTCCTAGAACATTTTAACTAGCAAATAAAATGTTCCAGGGAACTTTAGGGAGAAAATTAGGTTAATGAGGGAGGCTCACTTTTGGCCATCTTGCCCTCCCGGCTGGCCCACAGGTTTAGTAGAGCTGAGCTTTGGTCAAGGAGGGAGTTGGGGTTTTCTACTCGTATTCTATTAATGTCATCAACACCAAACTGCAGCTCTCTGGCCAACTCTGAAAGAGCAGAAAAAGAGGTAAGAGATTCTGGAGAGACAGACTAGCAAGACAGACAGAGCAAACAAACAGTATAGATGTAACATACACCTGCAAGTTATTTGCACACACACTCAGAGCTATATAGAGCTCATACCAGTCCAGCTTAAGCCCAGCTGCTCAGCAATCAGCGTGATTTTCAGCTCTGTCCTCTCAATGGTGTTCACAGTAACTACGAAGACAAAACATGTTAGAACAAATACTGCAAAAACATATGTTGTGTCTTCATTTTTATCAACTGTTACCTTAACATTTATGTAAAACAAATACATAATTACAAAGGAACATTTTATAATATACACATCATTATTTTTTCTGAATTATATAAAACACACCTCCCAAAATTTTAAGGGACACTTTGGCCAAAACTAAAAAAATCGCTACGTCTGTTGTAAACAGGCTCATTTGCATCCTACAACAAGTTTTTGAAAAACTACACTGAAAAAAATAGTTTGCTGATTGAATGTGTACATCAGTTCCACATGAGTAAAATATATTACATCAACTCAATTCTTGCCAAAAGTGAGTAAACTGAAAGAAAAAACTGTATTGATAATATATTTTATTTTTGTAGAACCAGTGTACAATTTTGAATCAAATAATGTGCGCTTTTTTCAATTTAAACTTCCTTTGGGTGGATTTTGGGGGGAGGCAAGCTGTTTTGAACTGTTTGGGTTTTCTTTCAGTAGCTGAAAAATACCGAAGGAAACCAGACAACTAATGTTACTGCCAAGAAGCTAAATATCAAACTGCAGCCATATCACCGTAGTAACTATCTGCAAATCAACATTACAATGTAGGAAATTGATTCCTCAAAAAAAAAAAAAAATCATCAGATGAGTAGCAACTTGGTTATCTGGATACCCAAGAACCTAATGATATACAATTGTGAATTAAACTCATTTTAGGCCAAACTGCCCCTTTAATATTGTATTATGTAAATGATATGTATGATAACATATATTGCATATATTGCATCATAATGTATGCATATTTATTTATTTATAATTGAATATAAAAAATAAAAGCTAAACAGAATCACACGTTAACTCATTGGAGACAATGGTTTCAGCCAAATCAGGCTTTGTGATTCTTGTGATGCAAATCATGGCTTACATGAGTAGTGTGGATGGATTCCCACAGTTATGGTAATAGTAAATAGATATCAATCCATCCAGAACAGCATTAAAATAGGCTCAGGTAGGCTTAGATCCTGTTTGATTGTGATGATTGCAATGCTGTCCATACTTACCAAATCATGACCAATGTCTGCCCTGCATTAGCTCTTGGCTTGATCTGCTTCAAAAACACTTTAGGCTGCCATGATATAACCCCCTAATCAACCATACGTTTTCATTACCCTTCCCCAACTTCAGCTCCTTTACAGCGGGCAACGTTGCAGCCCTTTCTCTGCTGGAGCTCATTCTCAGTGCTTGAGCTTGCCATGCTAATAGGATTTGCACTAAGACCATATCAGATTCTGCAGCATGCACTACATTACTGCTCATTCTCTCTGTGGACGCAGGGATGCTTTGACCCCATGGAGCTGCCTGTGATTATGGAGACTCTTCATCAGAGCGCCAATTCAGCACTGGCCCACAGCACTGCATGGCAGAGTGGGGCGTTCAGGCTAGCATTTAGCATCCAGAGCTCAGTCAGAGCCATGCACGAGTTCAGTAGAATGGGGAACTATAAAAGCAGGGATGGGAATAGAGCATTCAGAGAGCCCCCTTCTTCTCCCACAGCATGGGTGCACTGTGGCTTACCCAGGCCTGGCTCGTTCAGGGCACTGTATCGCTCCCTCAAGGCCAGTGGCGTAAGAGTCCGCCTACGGTCTTCACTTCCCACCACCTAAGTTATAGAGCACAACACACACATACATATACTTTAAATGTGGATTTATGATTTATTGGCATGTCCAAATTTGTGTAACTTGAAGCATTATTTTACACAAAAATTACACAGAAGCCTCAACAACTAAATACAATAACAGATTTGTCAGTATTTAGTGTTTCCACCGTTTGCCTTTATTACAAGTTTCATTCTTTTAGGTAGACTTGCTTGCAGTTTTTCAAAGAAATCTGCAGGAAAATTTTACTACACCTCCAAAGTTCACCTCCAAAATGGGTTGTATTTTTTAGCTTCTCACGATCCAAGTAATCCCGAACACAGACAGTCCACACCAGCAGCTTCTTTATTTGAGCTGCAAATTCTTCTTTTTTTGTCTATTTCCTTTTCTCAGTAACGGCTTCTTGACATTATGTATCCGTTGAGATCTCTCCTCTTTATGCCTCTCTTTCTCTTGCTCTCTCTGTCTCTGTTTTATCTATCTTAGCGTCTTTCTCTCTTTTTGCTCTATATTTCTATATTATATATATATATATATATATATATATATAATCATAATAAGCCACCGAAGAGGAGCTGAACATTTAAAAAGCATGTTTTGAGTATAAGGAGTCTTTAAGAGCTGAGGGACATGAACATGAACACTATTTCCCTGACAAAGCAAATAATTTCCTTTTAGCAGACTACAGAGACAAGGACTATTTTGCCACACTGAGACAGCCTATTGTGCTTTTTTTTTGCTAAGAATAGCACCAGGATGTGCTGTGGGAAAAATAATAAATGAATAAAAAAGAGAAAATCTGGGCTTTTGAAATGGCTTTCAGCTGTTGGTCTTTTAAAACATTTTAGATCAACCAGCATGCTGCATGATAAATGAGCTTATTCTCATTCATAAGGAGTATTTGCTTGCATCAGATTTTTATTTTTATCACTTTTTTTGAATAAAATTAGTCACTGTTTGGACCGTCGAAATGAAATGTGATAAGGCCTAATAAGACCTAATAATCAGTTTATCTTATTGGGGACCAAGTCAACAGTCTTGTTGGCCTAACCTTCAAACATTAATCATAACATAGTGGCCACTTGAACAGAATTCTGCATGGTGGAAAACATGATTTAATCTGTTTTACACGGCTGAGCAACTTGATGATGGTGTCATTAACGGCAGCACTGGAGTTGTAAATTAGATCACAGCTAAATCGAGTGGATATAAAGATGCTAGATGTACAGGACATAAATAATTAAGAGTGCAAGGAATCAGGAGTGTCTAGGAGTGACTGCTGCAGAATCCAAGAGAGTGGGTTTGTCAGTGAGCAGCACTGTGCATCTCTGCATGAGATCTTCACCATTCTTCTAAACAGTTTTTGGGATATTTTATGGTGTTCGAACTCAATGTCTCATGGAAAACTACAAAGTGATGACAAAATGTCAGAGGTCTATAGGAGATCAATAAACAGTACCTTAACACAGGGAGGCATGGTGATGTTGAGATTGCACAGCACATGCTGCGTTTCCTCATATTTGGTGGACTTGCGGAGGAAAGACAAGAACCCAGTGGCATCCTTATTGCTGTCTCTCACCTGAGAGGCCAAAAGAGGGGGAGAGGGAGAGGAACAGATGGAGAGAGAGGGAGCAGGAGGATAAACAGAGGAGGGGAGGGCAATCAGGGTGAATGAATAGAGGGTAACATGAAGTGGGGTCAAATTAGAACAAGAAAGGGGACCCAAAAGGATGTGAAGTGGGTGAAACAGTGAGAGAGAGGGGGGAAAAGAGTGAGAGAGAGAGACAGAGAGAGTAATAAAGAGCATTAGACAGGTTTGCGGCCTTGTTGTGAGTCATACAGGTAGACGGGGGAGGAGGGGATGGAAGCAGTCCGTAGGCAGGCGAGAGAGAGAGATTTACCTTCACATTTACCTTGTCGTCTGTGAGATCAGACAGTAAGAGAGTGACCGTGAGAGAGAGAGAGAGAGAGACAGTGAGACAGACATACAGACAGGCAGGCAGAAAGGTACGCAGGCAGGCAAGAAGGTGGAAGTTTTAAAGGGCATGCTCAAGACACCAAGAGAATAGTTACAGCTACTGAGTCACTGCACCACAGAGGCCAAAGGTACCACAGGAAGCAGCTGGGCTGAGACTAGGCAGACAGTAAGGCCCACTGACACACACAAATGAACACAGACAGAGGATGAAGCTGGAGAGGAGGTCGGATGGACTATGAAGAAGGGCTTTGACACTGGACGATGGTGACAATCATAAACGCATATACACACACTTGAGCACACACGTACAAACACACATACACTAGGGGTGTAACCACACAAATTTCATGACAAGATATGTATTGTGCTTTTTGCACCATGATTTGATACATTTTACAGAAGTAAAAAGAAAAGGGGCTCCCACAACCTCCTAAAGCCACAGTCACACTAGACTTTTACAGTTTGCTAGACTGGAAGAATGGCGACAAAAAAAATTCTCCATGTTGGTGCAGTTACTAAGCTCGCTAACTTGCTAACCATAAATAGTAACAACACTAAAATGAACAAAATTATATCTAATAACTTACTTGCAACAGCACACTGAATCATACCAAAAGAATTTAGAAAACTGGCATGGGTGGTGGCAGTGGGGTGACTTGTGCAACTGCAGTTAGCTAACATCACAGTTAGCAAGCTGGCTAACTTGCCTAAAACAAACAATAAAACCTCAAAAGTAAAGTTTGGTATGGCTTGTGCCTAGACACTGATTAAACTGGCATTTCCTCTGTTTTGGAGGTTCACAGATGTTCTATGAACGGCTGCCACTTCAGAGGTCAACTCAGGCAAACAGCAGCACTATTGGCAAAGGATGTTAATTCAAAGCAGAAGCTGAATTCGATGTGAAATTTTGCATGCAAAATACATTTGTCCCTGAAGTCTGTGATGTGAAATCGATCACTGTGGAAAAATTTAACTGACTGGGCCTTTAGTATTGGCATTTAATTATTATTTTTATTTTCTTTTATTCTAAAATGAACAGGCTTTACAAGATGTTCAGTGCTGATATGTTTTGATAATTAACAAAATATGAATGCAGTCTTTGGACATAAAAAGTGTGAGGTTTCTGTGTCCAATAAGGTGAGAGTTTAAGTGACAGCTGCACCATATGATGCTAAAGCTAACACTGGTGCTAGTCAGTGCAATGTTTTATGCTGAGAAGGACTCATCTTTTACACAAGGTCTTTTAGCAAATGTAAAGACACAAAAAAAATTATGTCTTTGCATGGAAGGTTTTAATTTAAGCACTGTACAGTCCCGTCTACCTAAATTAATTTATCTTTTGGCTGCTAAAGTATCACATATACATTAGTGTTAGCAACCTAAATAACTTACCTTGAAACTGCTTGTTCCTATTTTTGCCATTGAGCTGTGCTCCTCCACCAAGTTTAATTCTTTTTTTTCAGCTTCAGGAATTAAATTAAAACAGCACCACCTCCAGATAATTAGGATAGATTGAGTCTGAACTCCTCAGCAACATTGTTTCATCATCTCTTAATGTAAAAATTCTGACTAATTTACTGTTCTCACTGCAGGTGTGTTCTGAAGACTTTTGTGAGTTGTTTGCCTGATGGAGGAAGTGACGATTAGAAATGATTGTGATTAACTGAGAGGCATGTAATTATTTTGCAAACAGTCAATTCATGGGTATGTCAGCTGTCATAAATATTCATATAGCAATATAGAAATATACAGCTGTATGCAAAATTCTGGGCATCTTTTGGCCGAATTACATGTTTTGTTGATTTTGTAAGTGAAAATCTTGTACAGAGAACACTCTTCTGCACATTTTAATGCACAATTACTGTTTATTTGCTAAGCTGGAAAAAAATAAAATATTAAATGTTGCCTGTGCAAAAACTATGGCACATTTTATATTTTATGTTGTTTTTTCCAATATGTTAAATCTGTTAAACTGAGCAAATAAACAGAAATTGTGCAATAATGTTTGCAAAAAAAATGTCATACTTAAATGTGTTCTCTGCACAGGATGGTTAACTTACTTTCAGTTCAACAAAGTATGTAATTTGACCAGGGGTGCTGAAACCTTTGCGTACGATTGTATTGTCTCACAACCCCTCTGTTGCATAAGTGAACATGCATATGGTAACGCTCCTAACATACACACATACTGAATGACAATGACGTATAACAAGAGTGGACTGATCAGAAGAGACTTGCTGAGATTGGGATGATAATAATACTTGTTGCCAGCAATAAACATAATTCATACAGCCCACACCACATACAAACACAGACAGAAGCACATAAACGGACCTTCACTGAGACGGGTAGTCTGTTGTCTCTGAAGGCCTGGAAACTGAAAGTACGAGGTTGCTGGGTGGCCTTCCTCACTGGCACCAGGTTTCCAGAACATTCTAAGTGCAATGGCATCCCCTCCATTACCTGTGGGTAAAGAAAAAGAGCAAAGGAAAGGGACGAGAGGGGAAAACAGTGAGTCAGAGTGAGTCAGACACACTAGCAATCATGCAGTGACTCAACCATATAATATATACACATGCAAATGCTGCCACCAGATAAACATACATCATGTAATTCATACTACAAGCTTAACTTAATAATACAAGTTATGCCTTTGTAAGGAGACTGAAAACCATCTTTTTTGTCCAGCAACAAGAGATCCTACTGGATATAACATGGTCAGAGACAACACAGTCTGTCTAAAGTGCAGCACTGCAAGGATAAGCAAAGTAAAAAAAAATTGTTAATTCCTCAAAGCCCAGGCATTAAAATAGCTATTTTATAGCTATCAATTTTTCAGGTTGCTACAACAGCTAACTTTCAATCAGTAACAGCTTGCTAACATTTTTAGGACCTTGTTTAAAGTCTGTTTACAGTATGTATGCAGTTCTATAGTAATAAAACATAGATAGATAGATAGATAGATAGATAGATAGATAGACTGAATCTCCAGTGACTCAACTCAGAGCAATAAATGGGGATTATAAAGACAACAGGTCATAGACTAATAGCACTCAACACCCCTAAGTACACTCTTCTGCACTTATCAGAGCTGACCTCAATGTCTCTGCTGCGTGCCACCTCTGTGAAATTTTCATGCAGCTCCAGGGTTTTGTCCATCTTGTCATCAGTCAAGCAGTAGCAGCGAAGGCGGCCCTCCCGTGCCTCATTCATTTTGGCAAACACCACAAACTTGGCCATGTATGGCACCGCCATCAGCTCACGGTACAGTAGGTTGGCGAAGGTCACAGCCTCTGCTGTCCGAGGACAGTCCGCTAGCCAGAACCTGAGAGCAGAGACAGGACCACAAAGACCTCAGAGTCACTTCAATGCTCTAAGGGACGCGGTGGTGGCTGGTGGTCACGTTTGGATATTAAGCACTATGACAGGGACAGAATATGTGAAATGGGTGGGAGGCCTTTTAGGTCTCTCAAATATACAGAAATAAAGAAAATATTATGAACACGCTACGTTTAAGAAATTAATTTGCTTAGATTTTTTTTCCATTTTATTTTTATTAAGGACTGCTTGAGTTGATAAGTTGCCCCAGGAGAGAACACAGCTCTGTTTTGGCCAGAAGAGATGCTTCTGCTCAAGTTATAGAGCATATTTTATGTATAAACTACTGTCCAAAAGTTTGCAAGGATTTTTTTTAATAAAATGAAATCAATTTGGTAGCAGAGCACTGTATAAAATACTTATAATATGCTAGTCCTGTGCAACTTCACAAGTTTCAGATAATTAGTAGGGAAACCTGTTAAAATTAAGAAATTTTAGATGTGTTGAAAAACAATAAATGGAACTGTATAATAATAAAAATTAAGTTAAAATACGAGACACTCTGGAAGTTAATTTTACAAAAGAGCAAAGCATTAAGTTTACTTGATTCAAATGTGTACATCATTCCCTAAATATTAGATAAAAGTGGTGATCAAATTTTAAAGCACATAACTTGACAACTGTAATTAGAGAATTACAAAACAATATTTATCATACTAGAACCTCTTATTATAAATAAATATCAAATAAAACATTACAATATCTTTTTGTATCTAGTTTATAGCAGTTATATTTATAATAATGAATCTACACAGTATAACTTATTACTGTACATAAAACAAAAAAAAATATTTAAAAGGCCCAAACATTTGAACAGTAGTGTGTGTATACAAACACACCCATACCCACAATATTTTTTAATATAATCTGTTTTTATAAGAAATTTACTGCATAACTCGCAGTGTGTGTTGGTAAAGAGATTTATTGTTTGTTAGAGTCTCTCACCTTGCTGACACATTGGTGGTGAAGTTGGCACAGTTGTTGGAGTACATTAGCTTGGTTGTGCCAGTGATGTCCTCCCACTGAGCTGGGGCCGTGCCACCTGCAGAGAGGGTGTCACAGCTTTTTACAAACGCTGTGGACCTGATGTCCTTACTCACAACCAGTACCATCTGGAATCATTATGTTTAGTCTATACTTATCCCTGTGTCCCTCTCCAGGCTGGACAACAGTCTGTTTCAGCCTTGTCCAAGTGGCTTTGGCAGGGCAGGCATATCAAAGCTGGCTGAGGCTGACATGCACTGCAATAAAGGCTAATCTACCTCTTTCAGAAACCCAAATCCTTGCCACCAACAAGAGCATACCAATAACACTGCAGAGGAGTCGCAGGCTGGTGGTATCTCCCTCTCCAGCATCCCGTGGACTCTCCCTCCAGGATGGGGGCAGGGGGATGCGCAGGCCGATGGGCCTGTGGAACTTGCGTCTGCGTGGCTCCACCGTCACTACGGGGCTGAACGTGGCCTGATTACCTAACTGCCGAGTCAACAACTCATCAGGGATTGGCTGAGCCTGAGAAGAGAAGAGAAGAGAAGAGAAGAGAAGAGAAGAGAAGAGAAGAGAAGTGTGAGTTATCACAGAAGCAACAAATGATAAGGAGAAAGGCAAATTAGTGCAAATGAAAATGGCAGCGAATGTGAGGAAAAAAGAGTTAATGACAGAATATATTATGGATATATAACATGCAATATGGAAAAAATGCACAGTAATTGCACTGAAATACAGTTTTTCTTCCACATTGTCATTTATTTTCATCACGTGTTCTGACAGCATAGCTGCTTAATGAAGGAAATGATGGGGAAAATGAATACACAAGCAGACATACTCCATCAGTGGAAATGAACAAAGCAAATTAAAAAGCACTTGTGCCCATTAAACATTGTCCTATTCAGCACAGAATGTACAATAAAGAAGAAAACAGACAAATGAACAAAAATATGACCTAAAAAATTAATAATATGTGATTAAAAAGAAATATTAGATAAAAATATGCAGAGATAATTGTCAGCTAGTTTGCTGTTCTGGTGCTGCAATACAAAGCAAAATAAATACTGCCATGCCCCTAACTGTCATTACCTATACACATTCCATAATATCTTTCAGAACTGAAAACAGGTTGGTTCTACACTCATCAGGTTACAAAGCAGCAACTACTGTACACAATTAATCATTGGGTATTATGATTGTGCATGGAATGAAGATTCTGTGGAGAAAAAACTGATGTCTAGATCTAGATATTATAATATTCAAAAGTTCCAGACCCCTTCTATTCTGTGAATTCAGCACCCATTGCTGACACAAACATCTAACTGCACACAAACTGCTTACATAATCTCCACAAAAAAGTGTTGCCAATAGAATGGGACTCTCTACATGAGCTGCAAGGTCACCTAAATTCATCATGCCCAATGCTAAGTGTTGGCTAGAGGGGTATGAATTTCCTCAGCATTGAGCTGTGGAATTGCATTCTCTGGAGTGATGGAGCTCCGTCTGACACCTTTTGAACGAGCCAGCTTGCCATTTGTAATCCAGAACTAATCATCCAACATCAGTACCTGCTCTTGTGGCTTCACCAAATCCTCACAGCAATGTTCCAACAACTAGTATAAAGCCTTCAAGAGTAGGCGTTTTCACTGCAGCAGAAAAGGAACAAACTCTATATTCATACTGTAGCTACTTGATTATGGCAAAAATAAAAATCATGACTATTTTGGTCAATATTGAGATCACAGTTATTTAGCATGATTACTCATTGACTTTGGAAACATATGATATGATACAGAATTAGAAGAGAATGCTACCATAACTTTCTAATTTACTTATGTTACTTATGTAATAAATTATTGGTAATTCTCCCCCTCAAAAACACAACAGTGCTTGTGGAAGAGATACTTGACACAAGTAACTTTCTTAGATGCAAAAGTGCAAAAGGTATATCACATAATGCACACGTGCATATGGCAAACATGCATTATCACGACTCATAATAATAAATGGAATCCAGGACTCTCTATAATTGACCAGCTATCAGAAGTTGAGGTTTGCTTCTTATTAGAATTTTCCTCAGGCGTTCAAAGGGAAATGTTCCACAATTTAAGGCTGAACGGAAAATTGGGGTAAGCTAGTGAACAGGACGCTGACTTCAGGCTCCTTCAAGGAAGGCTAACCAGCCAGTTTTTTTTTCAGTTCATGGTAAAATTTTCCATGAATGTCATATGTTGTGTTAAATAGAACTATAGAAACCATTCCCATTGTCCATTGTCCACTGTCACACATTTTACAGCATGAAATCTAACTGATTTCGATATACAGCGTGTACTATCTTGCGACCCCACTATCGAAAAAAACAAGAGCATCATAGCAAAATGGAATGTGGTGCAATAATCACTTTATCTCAATTATCTTGTTTTTCATCATGTTTGAAAGCCAAAATTCTAATTAAAAATAAAATTTGACTGGACACCCTGCCCTAATTCATAACCTTGATTTTAAAATAAGTTGTATGAGCAGGCATCCACAAGCTTTTAGACATATAGTATAGTTGTGCTGGGTCTCTTTCTCACCTGCAGGCCTAGCCGCACTCGCTTGGTGACAGCCGTCTCAGGGAAAATGGCCTGGACTTGGGGCACCAGCTTACTGATCAGCTGACCACCTTCTGGACCAATCAGATCACTCTCCTGCTGGACACGTGACACCACCGCAAAGTAAAGGGGGAAGTCTGTGGAAATTATCCGACGGATTCTTTTCTTCTCCAGCTCTTCCTGACTCTCCAGATCTGAAAAAGAACATTTGAGGATTGTATCCCAGTCTTTTGGCCCGTAAAAGTTTCATTCAGCATCACACTTCAGGGAGCGTGCTGTGAGTCACATTGCTGGTGTATTTTACAGTAAGAACAGATTCACCTTCATCCATGCCATTGAGAATGGTCTCCAGCACATCGTCACCATAGCGGTTGCGATGCTCCTTCCAGACTGAGCCATTCTCACTACGCAGGACCACAAGCTCTCGATCACCTCTCCCCAAAGAAGCAAAGTGAGGAATCTCCACAATCACTGGCCTGAAACACAGTGTCAAGACTAAAGTATAGCACTACTGCCTACAGCAAAGCAAGGTATATACTGCTGAACCATCTGCATTAAATTCAAGGATGGGTATAGAAATTCACTACTTTCATGGGACAGACTGCATTACTTACAAATACTGGAGTCATTCAATACAATTTGTTTTTACTTATGTAATCTATAAGCCATTAAGCCAAGTATGATTGGTCGAAAATCTGGACCAAGTGGCTGTCTAAATCTCATTCTTTATGCATATCATAAATGCCAGCTTTTCTTGATTAGTCTGCAATTCATAGCTATTAGTAAATATACACACTTTCCACCCACTTTTGGTTTGAAGTTTAGAAGAACGTATCAATAAAAATATCTCTCTGGAATCAGTATCTAAGTCAAGACATCAGTATCAGTACTGAAGAATTTTGAATGATACCCAGCATAATAATTATATTAACAGTCTGCCTATATTATCAAGTACTATTTCTGTAGGTGGCAACTTTTGAAGTTTTTAGGGCTGATTGTCTTGATAAGGAGCCTTAAAAAATGCATTTTGATGCATTTGTTGCTTCCTTAGTAATGATCAGTTTGTCCTTTGTACCTTATCATGATCTACGGATCATGAGGTCAGGCTCACCCCAAGAACTGCATGCTGGAGGGCCCCAGTGAGATAATGCGGGAGGCGAGGCCCTCTCCCTCCACCAGAGGAGGAGGGGTCGTTAGTTTCTGTGGTTTGACCAGACGGCAGGTAATTCGTGTGGGCGCAGCACAGGTGCGTGGGGGAATGATCACTCGTAATCCGTTGTGTCTGCTGCCGCGCATGGACCCACCCCTCGCATCTACCATGAAACTGACCAGAAACCTGACAAAGAAGAAGTAATCAATCAAGCACTGTACAGCAAATTTGTCTTAATGATCACATGCAAGGACCGAATGGCAATGAATAGGTCAAATGTGAACAAAACATACATATTTCACACACAGTCAAACCCATTTAACAAGCTATTCTAGTTCTTAAAGAAAGAGGCAAAAGAAAAAGTTTTCCCCTCACCCCAAATAGCTGTTCATCCAAGACACCATTGGTGTCTGAGGTTTGCTTCTTTAGTTCTGCACTAGTACTATGAGGCTAATGCAGCTAACAATGGAATCAATGAAAGCATATATCCCTTCAATTAGTACTGTTCACACTGATTGCCCAAATTATTGCGTAGGTGCCTAAAACTGCAGCACTGTGAGAAAGTGAGAGGCTAACATTTATTAATTTAATATGAATGGTAATCTCAAATATACATGTTTACATGGTTTCTCACCCTGTAAGTCATATTGCGATTTATATAAATGGACAAAAGTACTCTGCAGATAAAAACAGTAGTAGCAACCATCTTGAAACCAGATTTTTGTCTCATTTTTGTTTGAGGAAAACAGGTGATGATGTAGGCATGCATTTTGCAAGATGCTAAACTAAATGGGGAAAATTTTAAAAATTTGATTTTTGCAAGTGTTTCCGGAAACAAGGCACACATTAGCAGGGCCCGCCGATGGTGCCTGTACAAGAGTCCACTGACCCAGTGTGGATGGGGCTGGCCACTGGGCTAACGTTGTCTGAGGTTTCTGTGGCTGGACTACTGGGGATCAGAGAGTCCTCATCATATTCTTTAGGCAGAGGGACAGGAGTATGCTGCAGACATACAAGACACCACATATTACATACACACCAATGAAAGAACACAAAAAGATCACAAAACATGATCTTGTGAGAAAAGAGTAAAAAGAAAGTGTCATTTGATATTTTTTAAGTGTTAATGCTGAAAAAATCTACAAACCAGTACCTGGTCCAGCATGACAGTCTCTGGAGATACACATGGAATTCGGGGAATAGCAGGAGAGTATGGTCTAAAGAGAAGCAAAGAGATGATAACTGATGCAACCGTTGTCTCCGATACTGATATATGTCAACCCCGAAATTAACAATAACTTAATAAACACCACAATTTAAAATATTAATAATTGGGTTTTTTTTATTAAATTAATAACTTTTAGAATGTGTGTAGATCAAAATATTTTGAACTAGATATATTTTTATTATATATTTCATGCTTTTGGGAACAAGACGTTTTTAATAGATAAATGATATTCTTTAGCCACCTTTTCATTTCTTGTCACATTATCCACCTCCATGTTTGACCACAACTTCTGAGATGCTCTGGATATTAATTTTATTTTAACCTCATTCTCCATGTTAACTTTAGGCTTATTATTCAGTTGTTAATACCATTGTTTATTATTTATTAAATACTATGAGTTATTCAGTAACCACTGTGAATACATACATATGTTATGTAGTTATTAGATGGAAGAAGTCAAGTATAGACAACATATGGCCCTTCAAGGGGTTCAACAGTTTTCTCATTTATAACGGTCTATATCTCTGTTCATCATTCTGGCTACAGCTTCTTTTTATAGCTTTCTAAAAATTATTTGACAACCCTGAAGTTGTACAATATTAGCATCATATTAGAAGAAATGTATACATGTATCTTCAACAAAACTGTTTTTTATATTATTGGAAACTTTAAAATGGTAGTGCATGAAATATCACAGTGTTAGATTTCTATAAGTGATACAAAGATCATTTAGCTGTTCTGATGCCTCTGATTCAAGGCTTACGTCGTGCCCAGTCCACTCTCAAAGTCCCGCAGAGTCTTCTTTGGTGAAAGAAAGTCATCATCCTGATCCTTCAGGTCGTCCAGCTTCAGGTAGCGAGCGCCATCCATCCCCAGCAACTCATCGCCTACACACAGAAAAGGCAGGCGTCATGTCTCAAAAGAATGAGAGATGAAAGAGAATGAAAGGGTTCAGGAAGAAGAGGAAAGAAGACAGAGGAACAGGAGGAGAGCAGTAAGAAAGAAAGAGAGACGTGAAAGTCATGTCTTAAGAAGAGCTTGACTGTCATTCACTATCATTCAGATTTCATCATTCACCATCTTTCAGACACAAGCATACATAACCAACTTCAGTGCCATCCAAGCAATGGAATCATACAAACAGAGCCAATGGAAAACATGGAGGAAATCAAGACACCCAGTCAGACTGTATGGCATCGTTACAGTTACGTTGGTGAGCATGCCCAGGAGAGAAGTGACCTCACGTGCTTCTTCTGCATTCAAGAAAGATTTGTTCCTGTTATTGGAGGGGTTTAATCATCAGGGTTCAACGGTGAGTACACTGCCATTTCCTAGAAGTTCTCTGCTGAGTCAAATGATGATCATTAGTCAATTAGTTTGTTATTCAGCGATTAGTCAATTTACTGCCAGTCCTGCAGAGGTGAGACACAGACAAAACCCTCTTTTAAATAGACATTTACACTTAATCCTGTGAATGATGGCCCCCACAAACAAATGTTAGTACTGATAAAGGAAAAAAAGCAGGGCATGACCACATGGTGATGAAGAGCCGACAACATCGTTGTACAACCGAGCGATAGATCCCAAAACAGAGCGGATAAAACTGGCTTCAGACGAAATGAGAGCACTTGAGATGGAGGCACACATTCACGAACGACCGACAACCGGACAACCAAGGCAGAGAGAGAGAGAGGGAGACGCTCCTACCTAATGTTAGCTGCGCAACTCCTGGAGAAGAGATGGAGAGAGCTTGGTTCAGGATAGATCTCTAGCATAACAAACATTGATACTGTATGCCTAGTTTAGAATTCATCATTGCCATTTCAAAAACGTATAACTCCATTATTTGAGAGTTTTTTTTATATATATACCGCATGTGCCCTATACATTGTGTAAAAATTTTCACAATCAATGAACCAACAGAAGTGGTTCAAAAGGACTTATAATGAAATCTTGTTATATTACTAAAGATGGCATAATACTATCAATGGTATCAGCAAAAAACACTGGATCTGATATCACAGGGTGAAAAGAACTTGCCTGAAATAGCACACACTAACACTGTGTTGTTAACTGTGTTTCTTGCTGTGGGGTAGTAGAGTGTTTGAGCAGTTCAGCATGATAGCATACTTTTAGGCTATGCTCACACTGCAAGAAAAGTGGCCCAATTCTGATATTTTTCTTTATATGACACACTGAATCACACTGAATCTAAAGGAGTCATTTAATCTTAAAGAAAGACATAGGACAGCTGTGTTGAATCTGCCAGGTGAAGCGGAGTTCTTTTGTGCTTGTGGGTCAATTCTTGAGCATGATCTGTTCATGTCAGATATAGGCCATAATGAAAAGATAATGTGAATGACAAAACCAGACTTGGACCACCTTTACCTGCATTCTGAACGTAGCCTTAGATGCTTATCTTAAGTGAAGTGCTTTAGTTAAAGATCATTTTAAAGTACACTAATTTATAAAGAATATACATTGAATCGGTATCAGTGTCAGTTGATCCTCAAGTTTTCAATATTGGTATTGGTAAGAGAAAAGAAAAAGTGCCATTCTTTATACGTAACAGTGATATATATTCAAATTCACTAAGGTTTTCTTCTCCTAAAGTTAATAATGCAAGTTTTTTTTTGTTAACAACGGCGACAACATGCAGGTTGCATTTTTTCCTCAGCATCCTCAGTAAGAGACTTCTTTTGGAGTCTCAGTGTGGCTGTGGTGCTAAGGAAAAGCACCGCTTTAATATGACACTTTCCTGCAGTTATCCTGTGAGCTCAAGCCCAACTGAGTCAGCAATACCCACCTTCATCCTCTGACACATCCAGGATCTCATCCACTGTCTCTGGGAAACTCATACGATGCTTCTCTGTGGTGATCTGAGAAGTAAGGACAGAGAGAAAGAGAGGGAGGAAGGGAGAGAAATATAAAACACAAAGCAGCAGGTGTATGCCAAAGACTGAGAGGAGAGGAAAAGATCAACAGAGATATGCAGAGATAATGCCAAAGCCATATATCAGCCGACTTTTGAAGGGACCTTTAGATAACAATCGCATAACAAGCCCGAGGTGCATACATTTCGGAGCAGTCTCTCACCATGGACACGGATTCCTCAGTCACCAGTTTGAGCACATCAATGACAGAGATATAGCCTAGCCGCTTAGCGATGCCCAGGGGTGAGGTTCCGTTCTGCCAGGGATAATACACACACACACACATACACACATGTACACTTAGACACAATGGGACTGTCTCTAATAAACATTCACAATGGCAAAACTAAAAGAGATCAAAGTCCTCACACACTTGGGGATCACAAATTTAATACTGAAACCTCCAAACTGATGCAAAACCACAGTATCATACTATTTTAAAACAGTGAGGCAAATTCAGTTTACCATGATATGAGCCCTTTAATAAAATGTATTAAGGGTGAGTCAGGCTTGAAAGGATCTGTATGAGAGAATACAGGAGGACAGAATGATTGAAGAGGGTTCATACAGTCGTGATCTCGTTGGGGAGGGCACCGTGTTTCAGGAGCAGAGTGACAATATCCGTATGACCCTGCTGAGCTGCCTGATGAAGAGGTGTGTAGCCCACCTGAGAGAGGGAGTGAAATAGAGAGATAAAGTGCATCAGGGGTAAGTGGTTTCAGTGCTTGCGAACATCAATGCACTTTACAGAAAAGTCTCCACTCAACCTGCTAATCAAAAAACTGCAAACACATCACATGTAGTAAGAAAAACAATAGGCTAATTTTCTGGCCATAAGTGAAGTATACACTATAAACAACACACTGTAAATATAAATGTAAAGACTCTGTCACTGATTACATTGCATATGCAAGATAATCACTCCATTAAATTTGCCTGTAATAACCATGTAAATGTCCTTTAACTCAAAGCTCGAGATTCTGTAATATGAGAGTGTGTCTTGTGTTCACCTCCACAAGAATGGCAAATTCCTCATTAATGACACTTTTATTATCTTATTGCATTTCCAACAGTTTTTACTCAATGCAAAACACTTTATTACCCTTTGCTGTGTCACAAACTGTGAGGCAACAGTTAAAATACCCAGCATGCTTAGAAATACAGATGAATTACAGTAGAGCACAAACATTCTGTACAGGAGAATAACTGACAAAATAACAGATATTTAATTTTTTTATGGTTAAATACACAGTATTTATTCTATGGACACAGAATACATTCTACAAAATAAATTCTATGGAACATAAAAAAGGGAAATTTATTCATTTTTTTAATTTCTGCATAATTAAATGGTCAAGGTGTAAACAGTCATTCAGAGGTTAGTAATGTGAAATGTTCCATTCTGCTGAAAAAACAGCACAGGCCAACATGCAATCCATGCTAGTCTAAGTTGGTTTATGCTGGTCAAGTACTGGTCTGATGTTGGTTTATTTGGTCACCCAGCATGGTCATGCTTGTTGACCATCCTTTCCAGCACAAAACGTAACATATTGCTGCTGTTGGAACAAAACCTCATATCTCCATTTTTGACGCTTTTCTGTTTTTAAGCTGCTCTTTACATTGTGTGTAAATTTCATGATGAATGGACCAAAAGAAATGGCCCAGAATTACTTGGAAAAAAAGTCTGATTACATTAAGTCTGAATTACATTAACAGTAAGCATTTTCAAGTTTTTTCCTTCTACTGTAACGTCATTTTGAAAGTACAAGGTTTTAGGCGTAGGATGGATATTTTTAAATCCATTCATGGCAGAGAGGTACATGCAGGGTGCTGTAAGGCAGAATAGTGCCCAATTAAAAAATATATTATATTGGATTTACATTTTTTTACCAGTATCACAATTATACTTGTGTAGGTTCACTGGTTGTTGTGGATAGTAAATAAAATGGTTATATTTGTGTTGTAGACATTCTGATCCCTGGTTCCTATCACCACCACTGTAAAGGGAGAGAGAGATGAGTCTAAAGTTTCTATACAATGAATCATGTCACATCAAACCACTCTGAATGACTTTATTTAAATCTCAGCTGCTGAATTATGCAGACGTTTTGAAAATTTGGTGTAATTCCCGTTTAACCAGTATGTTGTTAATGAATTCAGCTCTTGGTATACGCTGGTGTAAGGTTTCAGACTTACTCTGGTCTTACTGTTAACGTGGGCCTGCTGTTGCAAAAGAAACTTCACCATCTTTATGTTGCCATAGTGACACGCCACATGTAAGGGTGTGTATCCCATCTGAAAGAAAGAGAAGGAAAAGGAGTGTTAGTAAATGAGACAAAGGGAGATAGAGAGAGAAAAGAAAGAGAGGGAAAAAGGAGAAACACCAGAGAAAGAGAGTGAACAAAATAAAAAACTGGAATTTGAGCATCCACTTTTCACACTCTCTGGAGACGTGGGAGGAGAGAAAGTCAATGTCGTCTGGTGTGACAGTGCCTGAAGCCTGAATTCTATTTTCAGAGCATCGATTGAGAAACAGGGCAATCCACCAGGGGAGGAGGACACGCGTGATGAAGGGTCAAAGGTCAAAGCTGAGCTACTCCTGCATTGTCATCCAAATTTCAGTGAGGCTCATAAAAAGCCGCTTGCCCACTCACTCAGTGGTACTTTCTTTACAAACACCATTCCTGCATGACACAGGTTTTCAGAGGCATGTGCATGTGTGTGTTTACCCTTGAGGCTGCGTAGACTGAGGCGCCCTGCTTCACCAGCATGTCTGCGATGCCCACGTGTCCCTCCTGTGCCACCAGGTGCAGAGGGGTCAGGCCGTTCTAAACATACAGAAATATTGCTTTACTAGCCTAGCAACAGACATACAGAGAACTACTAAAGCAAGGCACATGCTGTGCGTATACATACATATATACATACATGTATATATACACACACACACACACACACATATATATGTATATATATATATATAAGGGATGTAATGCTGCACTACGCACTACAGAATACTACATAGCATGACAAACAATATTAAATGGTAGTTTTAGGCAGGAATGCCCCTAAGCAAAAAGAGTGTTTGAGGTAAGTATGTGATGATTTAGAAATGCAGAATGGAGAATGCACAACGCTATCTTATGCAAGGTTCTGTTACCCAAAAGCTACATCAGCTCTGTAACAAAACTAAAGCTCAGATATCAAAACTGCTTCAGCTCTGGGGTGGACGATATGGCAAAGATATGATATCACGATACTTTGATATTTTCATGATACATGATATGCATCACAATATTTTGTTTTTCTGAGATTTAATAAGTTGAAATAGACAAAATAGAACAAGTAGTGCCACATATAAAAATACTGTAATAATAATAATAAACCTATTTTTTTAGTAAAAAACTACAATGATTTTTATTCAAAGTTTTCGAACTGCATTAACGCTAATTCCAGTTAAACAGGCCTAAATATGTTTTCTTTGTAATAAAATAAGTAGTTATTATTCTTTAAGTATTGCCATCAGCTGATTAATTAAATTTGCGGTAAGGAAACAATTATTTACATTTGAATTGATGCTGCACCATTACTTTAGACTATAGATATAAAACATATAGTGCAGTATTTTCACCAGAACTGAGGATGACCATTCCCTCTTCCCTAATGTTAACCCTGCCCTGTGTAATGGTGAGAAGGGCGAATGTGTGGAGAGACCTTGTTTCCCAGGTTGACGTTGGCCTGCTTAGAGATGAGGAGAGCGACCATGTCGGGTCGTCCCTCCTGAGCGGCCAGGTGGAGAGGGGTGACCCCCTGCAAGGACTCAGCGTTGGTATTGGCTCCACACTGCAGCAGACTGCTGGCCACCTCCAGCTGATTCTGCTTAGCCGCAATGTGCAGAGGAGTGTAGCCATTCTGCAAGAGAAGATCAGACAGGGAGAGAGAGATGGAGAGAGCTTTTAGTCATTTATTAAACGACTATAGGCGAATGTGAGGATTTAGCATGTGTTAGCATGTCCAAACAAGCAAACTGTGCTTCATGACGAACAGACCAATAAAAATGGTCTAAAATCACTTGAAATAAAATCTTGCTACATTAACTTATTTTAGTTAAGTTTTGTCTTCCCATGCAAAGTCACCATTGTGGAGATGCATGGTTTTGGCAGCAACAATAAGAGAGAGTATCTTACTCGGGCAGTGCTGTGCGGAGAGCCACCCTTGCTCACCAGCAGCCTGACCACATCCAGGTTGTTGTGATGGACAGCTACGTGCAAAGGGGTCAGTCCATTCTGCGAGGAGAGACAAATGCTCTCAGTCAGTTAGTGCTATCCATCACACACACATTGCGCATCACAAACACACAGGAGAGAAATGTGCTCCATGTTGTGGTCACTGCAGGAGACTGCATCACCTTTCCTGCTGCGTTAGGATTAGCTCCTCTTTCCAGAAGCAGCTCCGCCACGTCCACCTTCCCATATTTACACGCCACATGAAGGGGGGTAAAACCTTTCTGTGGGAACACACACACGGAATACATGCGAGGATGGAAAGTTAACTACAGTCGCGTGCAAAAGTTTGGGCACCCCTGGGCAAATTACATATATTTTGTTGATTTTTGAAGTGAAAAGATGTCAATATCACTTCTGCAGCAAACAATTAAAAAAAAAAATATATATATATATATATAGTTACTGCAAATGTTAATACACAGCTACATTATACTTAACTGATTAAAAAAAGTAGTAATTGTGGCATTTAGACACTTTTCCAGTTGTAAAGCCAAAGAGCTTAATTAATTCATTAGACCCTACTGGTTAGGCAGGTCAAGAATTGTCATTAGGAACTGATGACAATTCCAGTGACAATTCTCTGACTCACCTTAACACTAACACTCAACAACCATGGGATCCTCTGAGCAGCTGGCTGAGGATCTGAAAATGAAGCTAATTTATGCCTACAGTAGGGGAAGGCTACACAAAAGACATCAAAATGCTTCCAGCTCATAATTTCCACTGTCAAAAATGTCATTAAGAAATGGCAGTTAAGGAGAACTGTGGTAGTCAAGGAAAAATCTGGAATACCAAGAAAATTTAGAAGATATAAAACTGAGGAACAAGGAGGAGATGGGGTGGAGGTGGTGGTGGTGTGTGAAAACTGTCAAAGAAAACAGAAGATAGAGATGGGAAATTTGTAGGATGTCAAATTGGAAAGAGCAGGGCTTCAGGCATTGTCCCCCTCTCAAACATATCCATAATTTTCCCCATAATTTAGTTGTGGACAATCCACTAGCTAGATCTTCGAATCACATGAAGCTACCAAGATGGGAGAATGAGGGATGGCATGTGCTTCCTGTGAGACACGTGAAGCCAGTGACTGCATCTTTAAAATTTTTTTGTATAGTACATTTAATTAACTAAAGACTCTAAGTGTTGATAAGTGTCATGACAAAAATTCATGAAAAGAATGTAAGATTTATAAAGTACAGGAAGACATGAGGAATAGTGTCTGTGTGTGTTTGAAATATGCATTTTGAGCAACAGAAGACAAGAGACAAATACAAAACAGGAGAGAAAAAAAGCGCAGGACCAACCTTAGTCATCTTGGTTTGCTGGGCATTGCCGTCTAAGAGAATGCGTGTGGTGTGGGCGTGTCCCTCCCGGGCAGCAATGTGCAGAGGGGTGTGGCCAGCCGTGGTGGCTGAGTCAGGATTGGCCTTATGTTCCAACAGCAGCTTCACCAACTCCTTATGGCCCATCCGTGCTGCACAGTGCAGTGGAGTCTGATCGTCCTGGAGAGAGAGAGATAGAGAGAGAGAGAGAGAACGTGTTATCAAACCGTTCAACTGAGATGTCTGGGTGTCTGTGTAACTGTATCCTCTCCTCCATATGGCTCTGTTGTGCTAGCACTTGCCTACCTTAGCTTTAGCATCCACCTGGGCTGAGTTCTGCAGCAGAAACTGAGCCACTTCACAGTGCCCTGCTCGAGCAGCCATGTGCAAAGGAGTCTCCACTTTCTACAATGACGCAAAGAGATCCAGCTTAAAACCACTGCAGTATTTAAACATCCACAGAGCAACGCTAATAAGCTCACTAGCTCACTAAACTGACTGAAAAGCACGTACACTGCCTAGGGGTAAAAGAATGCATCATGACATTGCAATATTGCGATGCAAAACTGTGACAATGTGCACTGTGGAAAATGAACATTGTATCACGTATGCCATCTTATGGAACTGCATTGTTTGAACAGTAAAGTTTGCAAACAGTATCATAAGTTGTTCTACAACATGATTAGAGTCATCCTTTTCTTTATTCAAGCTTTGTTCAAGATATTGTGAGAATACTGGATCGTGGGCTGCTTGTATTATAACAACCCTAACAATATTTTGTAGCAATGTTTTTTTTTACCAGTTTGTAATAACATAACTTATTAAAGATGAGCCAAGTATATTCTGTGATAAAAATAATTTCATGTGTAAACTCCAAGAAGATATGGCTTAGCAATGCTGCAAATACTTTCTGCTTATGAACAGTCAGTTTTTACAGGCATTCCTGAAGAACATGTATGCAGCAGTTACAGTTATTACAGGGTTTTTTTATTTAACATTTTTAAGGCAGTGTATGCATAGCCAGGGTTGGGAGGGGTTACTTTAAAAATGTATTCCGTTACAGGTTACTGTTTACCTGTTAAAAAATGTAACTTTAACCTAATTTAATAGATAACTATATTACAGTAATGTAATCGGATTGTTTTCCATTGCTTTTGGATTATTTGTCTTTAATTAAAGATGTATAATTAAATTAAAAGACCTTTTAATAAGAATTTGACTTAACACCTGCCAAACACAAAAACCACACTGTTTTATATAGAATGTATTGGCTCATTTGGTTTCATATTGGAGTGCTGTGCTTTGACTTTGAGGATGGTAATTTGTAGACGTTCCCTAATCAGCTCAGCAGTTTCAGCAGCCCACAGAAATCAACATGTTCTATGAGTTTTATAAAGGCATTAATCTCACACAAAAACTAGGGTGAGCTGATCATCGTACTTACAAATAATGATCATTTACACATATTAACCCACTTGTTATCTTCAACTTTGCTAACATTTTTATCCTTGGGGTCAATTTGACCCCAGAAGTTTAAACTACTAGAGAATGATTATAATTAAAATTCTTACCTATTTTCACATTTCAGACTGTTAGTTAAAACCTGTCAGGTTAAAGTCATCAAAAGTTTGTTTCATAGCCGCTAAACTGTAGAATTTTATGGAGCAACTAATGAGAATAAAGAGTTTACTGTCTATAAACTGGTATAAATCTGGGTAAATGACTGATTTAGATGTCTTTAGGAAAGCACTGCAGATCTCAGTTCTGTCAATAAAAATACAATACTTAGTCAATTTCTACAGATTGGCTTATAAAAAGGTCGGAGCAGGACCACCTCCCCCTTCTCCCCAAACTAAAAACTCTTTAAATGTTACTCATGTAAAATAATTATCATATAAACAGTGAATTTCAGTGAAAGATGATGAGTTTGCATTGGAATGTAATCCTGCTGGTAATCATCCTGTTTTTATGAAGTATCTGTAATCTGATTTCTGTCTTATTTTTGTAACTGTAATGGAATACAGTTGCGTTTTTTTTGTATCCTACCAACCCTGTGCATAGCAGAGTAATCATTCTGGGTGCAAAAAAAACGATCACACACTCACCACGTTAGATGCATTGGGGGAAGCTCCTCTCTGCAGCAAGCTCTTCACTATGTTAAGGTGCCCCATAAATGAAGCCACATGGAGTGGAGTCAGACCGGACTGAGAGAGAACAACACATATATCAGTCAAGAAAAGCTCAGCACTCCTTTGTTTACTGTAGGCAATTAAAACAAATAGAATTTGCTGAGCCCACAAGAGGCATTTACAACAGTTTACCTTCAAATGGCATAGAAAAGAATTACCACTGAGAACACAGTGAGGAGAAACAAGTATTCAGAACCTTTTTCTTTTTGTTATTTAATATACTTCCTGTGCATGTAACCACTTTACATTTACACATATAATGTTTTATGACCATGATTATCTATAAAGATTAATAAAAAATATGTATTCATAAGCAAAGATATGTGTATAAAATGAAATTAATAACATTAGTACTTTTTGTATAGCTGCTGTTGGCAATTAAACTTTTGAGTAATTTTGTAATTTTGCAGCTCTCTGGTTAATTTCTGGCCCATTCCTTTTGGCAAACAGTCTTCAGTTCCCCAAGATTATGAGAGTCCCTCTGATGAAATCACAGTTTCAAAATTCTCCATAAATATTCAATGGGACTGAAGTCAGGAGACTGATTAGACCACGCAAACATCTTCACTTTCTTTTTCTGTCTTTTAGTTATTTTGTTTGTCTTGTTGAAAGGGCCATCTGCTCCCCAGATTCAGTTTTTTGAACAATGAGATTAAATTTTCCTCTAATATGTCCCAGTACATTGCCACATTCATGTTTTCTTTGATAATGTGTACTGTTTGCAGAGAAGCAACCTCATATCATGATGTTCCAACCTCCATACTTCACTATGGGCATAATGTTTTTGGGGTCATGCGTGCAATCCTTCTTTTTCCAAACATGTTAAGCTGGGTCATTCCTAAAGAGTTTTATTTTTGACTAAAGACTGACCAGAGTACAAAATAGTTCTGAATTTGACTAAATGTATGCAAATAATATGTAAGTATATCATATACAATTTTTAGACATTATGTGTATTTATAGTGGATATATGCATTGGAAGTACATTAAATAACAAATTGAGGCAAAGTTCAATCGGTAGATTAATTCAGTACTGTTGGAGATTAATCAGCTATAAAGATAACTGTTGTTGCATAATAGCTGTAGTCCTAACATGTATAATCATATGTATTAATCATAAGTCACTGCATGTTTATTTGCCCAGGGACTACAGATGGAAATTAGCTAGTTAGCTAAGTCTGGTGGAAAGCATATTTCTTATTTTCTGATTGGAGGTTAATTTTTAATGATCCCTAACAAAATAGACATTAATAAACTAAATAAAATCAGATCTGGATGAGGTCACATTAGCAGAAGCAGTACCTCAGTCACTGCCTCCAAAGACGCTGAATGCTTGAGCAGGAGGTCCATGGAGCGCATGTGGTTCTTCTTACAGGCAATGTGTAGAGGAGTGAAGCCATTCTGACAAAACAAAAACGCCACCAACCACATACAGCACAACAGTATAACATAAAGGGTTCACCAGTCTTACCCACAAAGGGCTAATGAAGCTGCAGGTTTTCCAACCAAGCAGGTGCACACATTTAACAGGGACCACCTGACTGAACAAGAGCAATCAGACGTGCTTCTGCTTAATTGGAATAAAAAATTGTGAATAAGATTAGTAACCCCACCATAATAGGTTGAACTGAGAAAAAGATCACAGCAAAAGGCCTAATGAGAAGAGCAGAGAGCAGAGGGAAAAAGATCAGGACTGACCAGAGCTCGAGCATTGGCCTTGGCTCCCTTGTCTAGCAACACCTTGGCCATGCGGTGGTGGCCACAATGCGCTGCCACATGCAGCGGCGTCAGGTGGTCCAGAGTGATGTCATCGATCTCAGCGTTGTACTGCAGTAGCTGCCGCACGCAGTCCATGTGATCGCCCTGCGCTGCCATGTGGATGGGAGACAGGCCATTCTGCACGAAGAGAGATGGCAGAGACAGGCCAGATCAGTGGAGCACAGATCTACTGTCAGGAAGCCTGATCTATCAGGAGTTTGCAGGTTGAATAGAGACACTTCTGGCTATATTTAGTCCAGATTTGGATGCAATCATTGTCTGGGAAACTAACCCAAATATAGCAGGTATATCAGAATCATTGATAAAGAGCACCTAAAACTAGACCACTGCATCTTCTCAAGGCCATATGGCCCTGTTAGACGCATATGGTTTTACTGCTGAGTCACCTTAGTTTTGGCCTGGATGGGCGCTCCTTGGTCCAGGAGGATCTCAATGACCCGCACGTGGCCATTCCTGGCCGCACAGTGCAGCGGGGTCAGCTCATCCTGAAAGGAAACAAAAGAAATGAAGAAAGAGACTGATTAACAAATGTACTGCAGTCCTTTTCTACATATCCACAGCATCCACCAGTTTTCTGGAGTCTCTTTGGGAGCAAAAGCCTTTGTATGTTACTCACTGACAGGCCAGTCCCACAGGACATCATACTAAAAAGAAACGTGCATTCCTAGCTTCATAATCCATCATTAAAATGTACCACTTGGCGTATGTATCCCAGCTTTAACCATGAGAAAACACCTGATTTCCTCCCAGGAGGAGATAAATAGGTCACCCTCTGTAAGCTAGACATAAATAACCCAGCAGTCTGCTTTGCAGAAATTTCACACTGTATCTGATAATTAAACTCTCTGTAAGGTTGTGTGTCCCAGTATTGGAGGCATAAGCAAAAAGGGATACAGTACCTTCGTCCTGGCATCTATCTGAGCCCCCCTGTCCAAGAGCAGACGAACCATGATCACATTCCCCCTTCTGGCAGCAATATGCAGTGGAGTGATGCCATTCTGAGAGTGAGCATATAGAGAGGGCAGAGACACAAATGAGACGATTCATTCAGTTTCTGTTATAATTTGTCTGACTAATAGTGTCCAATGATACTTATAAAAACAAATTATGGAACCCAAAACTTGATAGGACCATGACAAGGTAACACACCCATTTATGTCCTTGAGAGCTATGAGGGTGAAGCTTTAGCATGGCTAGAAAGGAGTCACTAAATGATGTATGTTTATAGCCATTAGCATTTTCAACTCATTTAAACAACACATTCAACAATTACGTCTGAAAGTGCCTGGCAAGTACTTCTGTCAAATCACTACAGACACTTAAAATATAATGTAAAAGATAATGCTAATAGATAATCAAAGGTGGGCTCACCGATGCAGCAATGTACAAAGATGCTGTCACCAATGTAGCATAATAAGTACAAAGTAGATTCCTTTCCTCACAAATACAAGTAAAAGTAAACGTATTATCAACTGAAAATATTGAAAAAAGTATAAATGCATCAATTACACTACATAAATCATCATCATTTTACTTGAGCACATGTAACTGAGTAAATGTATCTATTTACTATCCACCTCTGCAGATTAAAAATACCAAATAATGATGAAAAGCCCTTTGCCTGCCAGAAGAGGACAAGGCTGAGGCTGTGCTCATTGTAAAAATATTGCGTGTGCCACTGCTGTATGTGAGGTGGGCATGGGCAGAGGAGCAGTAAGATTACACTGAATGCAGTGGCACACCAACCTTAGGTGTGAAGTTCACATTGGCTCCTCTGTTCAACAGCAGCTGTGCAACACTCAAATTCTCATAATGTGCTGCAATGTGAAGAGGAGTAAAGCCAGTCTGCGGGAAGAGAGAATGAGAGACTGAGTGAGAAATGAGTGAGGGCAGAAAAAGACGCACAGGGAAAGAGAGAATATGAATACTTTAAAATGAGAATTTTAAATGTGAAAGCAAAAACTGATACATTATTTATTTAAGAGGCCATACTCAGAACAAGCATCACGCAGTGTGAAATTTCATACATTTGTATATCAGCATTAGCGATTATACCCTAGTGCACCTGTTTTGGGCAAATTCATCAATGTCATACTAAGTGTCTATAAATATCCCATTTCCCGTGTGATGTGGTCATTATTGCTGTTCTGATGAGTCATAATCCATCACCACGCACACAGTGGGATAAACCCTCATACACACACACACACACACACACGCTGGTGGTACCTTGCTGAGGACGTCGGGGTTGGGGTCGTTCTGCAGCAGCACAGCTGCGGTGCGTGTGTCGTCGTTGCGGGCAGCAATGTGGAGAGCAGGCAGGCGCACTTTGCCTTTGGTGCCATAGTTAATGAGGAGAGCCACCACATTCTCATGGCCCTGCTGCAGAGCCACGGCTAGCGGCGTGAAGCCATCCTGACACAAACCAGAGAGCAGAGAACAAACAGTTAGAAGAGGAGGTGTTAACACTATTTTGATACTATTTTGACACTGTAGTTGCTTTGTAGATGCTCACTTTGTCTTTAATATAATTAAGGGTACACAATAATGCAGGAGTATGTATATTATCCAATGATACATAGGAAAATGTAAGTTTTCTCTGATCTGCATTTATTAAGGTCTAATCAAATGCATTATATTGGGTACCAAACCAAAAAACACTTCCAATGCACACACAGAAAAGCAGAATTCCTCATCCACACAAAAATGTTAGTGCTATACAACAATACATTTGCATGTCAGTGTAGGAAGCTCTACAAGAGTATCTAAATATAGCTAAATATACAATGGCAGTCAAAAATAAATGCTCACATGCATGTATGTCACACACTGATGTTTAGAAACCATTTTTGATGTGTTTATCCTGTCTGTTCACTTAAAGGAGGATGCCACACAGTTCATTAGGTGAAATTCAGGCGCAATATAAAGCCAAATGAGATTTTGTGGGGTTACTTTAGCAAATGTGTGGAGAATAAAGATCCAACCATTATGGATGGTCTGTGGACAGCATTAAAGGACGTGTGGAAAGCAGTTTCTTTAAAAATCATTAAATAAAAACACTTCAGGAAAGTAAGACAGTGTGAAGTTGTCTTTAAGTATAGATGAGCTATGAAATGCTGATAAACACTAGAGGTGTCTAGTCTTATTCACAAAGGACGAGTGTGGCTGCAGGTTCTCATTCTAAGCAAACAGGAGCACACCTGATACCCATGTTTGTCTTTAACAACTGATCACATGTGCTCCTGCTTTGTTGAAACAAAAACCTGCATCCACACCAGCCCTTTGTGAATAAGATTAGACACGCTTGCACTACACAATCAAAAAGAACTGCTCAAAGGTAAAAAAAAAGACAAAATAAGAAATAAACACTAGCAGTTTATAGTTTTGTTGTAGATTTGTTGTAGTCTTGAAGAGGACCTCACACTGCTGTGTAGAGCTGCACAACACAGGCATAAAATGTGTTACTCAATAAGGCTGTTAGATATCATGATGCGATATGAGAAGCAATATATTATCATTAAAGTAGTCTGCCTCTGACTGGATCTTGTTGTTTTTTTTGGGGGGGGGGTGTAAACAGAAATCAGAAATCCAACTAATCAAAATATAATGAAATAATAATAGCTACATTTTTTGTGCACCGAAAGGCTGAGAAACAGTCAGCTTTTTCCATAAACACTAGAAAAACAAACAGGCTTACAAGAATGAATAAATACACATTTAATTCCTTATAATGATGCAGGTTTGTTGTGACAGTAGCCATAACTACTTCACACATTTTACATACTGAGAGTGAGATTATTCATTATGTTTTAAGCAGTTTTACAGGCTAGTAGTTCAGCCTTTTTCTCCACACAGAAAAGCGGGGTTCAGACCCAGCACAGGGAAGCACTACACCGGCTCTTAATGCTTCATTCCAGCCCATCTAAATACATCTCTCTGGCGCTGTGCATGTGTGGAATATTCATCAAGTCTGTAATCGTGCAGCCTTACTGCTTTGTCAAGCTTTTCTAAAGTTTTTTAAATTATTTAAAAGAACTGATTCCTACACATTCTTCACTGCTGTCACAGACTATCCACAGTGGTAGGATTTTTCTTCTCCACACATTTCCCAACTTAGACCCACAAAATTGCAATGAGCTTTAAATTGTGCCTAAAGTTTACTTGATGAACTGTGTGGCATCTTGCTAGGTCTTGCATCTTCTTAAATTCTCTACAAGGTGTTATTTGTTATCTTTACCAGCCCAAGCATTCCATATCAGTCCATGATCCAGTTCACATCTCTCTAAATCCTAATCCAAAACCTGATCCTAATCCTAACTCTGACCCTAATATTGATGAATGCTATTTTAGCAGATATTTCATAAACAATATAGAATACAGAAAAAACAGAATACATTTGTTTTTTAGTGATGTGTCACTTACCTCAGTTGGAAGGCTCTGATTGGCTCCATTCTCCAAAAGAAATTTCACAACTTCCAAGTGGTTCTCTTGTGCTGCCATATATAAGGGACTGAAACCTTTCTGCAAAGGTGAGATGAAGGAGAAAACACCCATCAGCATCTTGTCTAGACTTTACACACCAAGATTAAGCCCAGAGGCTCATTTATATTGTTCTGGGACTTGAACACTGACCTGAGACTGGGCATTGACATTGGCACCATAGTGGACTAGCTCAGCGACAACTTTCTCTTGACCAGCCAAAGCAGCAATATGTAGGGCAGTATTCCCTTTCTGTAAGATAGAGTAGCAAGAGTATAGCATCATGGTCAGTATAGATAAACATATAGCATCATGCCAACTGCATATAGACATTGATTTTTGCAGATACCTTTGTGGTGCTCTCTAGTTCAATCCCATGGTGCAGCAGCTCCAGCACCATCTTAACGTGGCCTTCCTTCGAAGCCAAGTGCAACCCGTTAAGTCCATTCTGTCAATGAGAGGTTGAACAAGAACTGTTTAAAATCTTATCTCTAAAAACAGACATATCTGTACCTCTGCCTCTGTCCCATATATCCATCATCTGACTCAGAAAGAGACAAGCTAAAAATATCTGGCTAAAGCAGCAAAGTGACTGTAGAAGCGAAGCCTCATTAAGCAGTGTGTGGAGAATGTCTGGGAGGAAACAGAGAAGCTTGTTTTATCTATGGATTATGTGGGAGACAGGCTGAATGGTGACCAATACAGCATTGGATTTCTCCATACGTTTCTCAATAAACTGGATAACTTAAGCCAAACACTGAAACATATCCAATAGAAATGGGTTAAGAGGTAGTAGTCTTCACCCATACTCAAATAAATTTGCTGTTAACTCATTGAAATGATATCTAAAGTAAAAGACAAGGTCACACAGTGTCATTGATATAAAACAACAATTTTAGAGGGTGACCCAGGTGGGGTACTGATGGATGCAATTTCACTTGGTAAGTAATATAATTTAACTTTGTAGGTAACACAGCTACTAGCTAACTAGGCTACAAATCCAAATGCCACAGAGCAGGTTTAATATTGGCTTTCTGTCATTCCAACACCAGCTGCTCAACTTCACTCCCTCAGATTTGAGTCACTTTCATCTAAACTTGTATCAGTGTAGCTTTTGTTAGCCAGAATCAAACCTGTTCTGTGAGGAGCAGAGCTGTTAACATGCTAACATGTAACGCTAACATGCTAACATGCAAATATTTAAAATAAATCTTTTTGCTCAAGTTCACTTCCAAAAAAGATGGTTCTTCAAGGGCTCTTTAGTAAAGTTTATGGTTCTATAAAGTACCACAAACACTCAAAAAACCCTGTGCATGATTGAAGGGTTCTTTGAATCATGAAAAGGTTATTTGCATTGTGAAAGCATTCTTCAGATTGATGGACAATGTGTTGTATATCATTCTGTATAGAACCTTTTTGAAAAGGGTTCTATAAAGCACTAAAAGAGTTCTGCTATTGTTAATATACAAGCTTGTAACAACAGAAGAACCCTTTTTGGTGCTATATAGAGCCCTTTTCAAAAATGTTCTATAAAGAACCATGTACAACACATTCTCCATCAATCTGAAGAACGCTTTCTTTGTACAAAGCCATCACAATGTTGCTTGAGTACATTTAATTGAGTAAGGGTAACTAGTTATTGCCCACATTTGCCTTTACCTCTTCTCCTATTGGACAGGTATGATTTTTGGCTTAAGCTATCTTACTAATTGAGAAATCCACCTTTGTAAACACCCCCTGAGACCGAGTGTGTGTGTATGTGTGGAGCTCTGGCTGACCATAGGGGGGCTCTGCTATGCTAGCCGCACTGGAATTCCCTCATTCCGCAGTGTCACTGTGTGGAGAACAACTCCATACTGCAGCTCTACTGGGCATGCGCACAGAGAGAGAGTGAGAGAGAGGTGAATGTAGAGGAAGGGAGGGTGATGATGGAGGAATATTTGCAGAGTCTTAGAAGCTTAATTTTGGGATTCGCAATTCAGCAACACGTGTCCACTCATCTTTTCATCCCTCAAGTGTAGATTTTCAAGGCCAGAATGCACATTAGGCAAGTAAATGGAAATGCTGGGTGTGATTTAATATGTGCAGAGCACAGAATTCAAAGCAAGCTCAACTGGAAATCCATCAAATGCATTCAGTAGAGATGGCACTGATCTAATAATCAGTATGGGTATTGGACTGATACCATAAAATGCTGGATATGATACATTAGAGGAAAGAAATAAAGAACAAATCTGATCTGATCCCACAACAAATCTAACCTCTAACATTTCTTGTAGCGCAATATGATGTAAAGCAAAATAAAGTGGGTCACATGATAACAACAGTAGCCACATGTCACCTTTATGTTAACATACAACAAGTAGCTAGTATGATATTAGAAATACACTTTCTTTGTTTTAAAGGCTTATTACATGCAAAATGATGCAAACTGACTTATTTACTCAAAAGTTACAGCAATGAGAAACAGAATTCCTCAGACTGGTCATGGCTAATTAAACCTAAACCGGTATAGCATGGTTTCGAATCCATATTTATGAATTTTGTGGTCATTTCCACTACTAAGTGAACCAAATTGTACCTGTGCACCCATGCTGTATTTGGTAGTCCTTCCTGCCAGAGTACCAAGAATGCCAAGCTGGAATTGACCACTGGTCAAACGCAATCGTCCATTTTGTGCTGAAAAATATAGAATTGCTGTTTTCTTTATGATTTTGTTCGATGTCTGAGGTAAAAATTACACTAATGCTGGCTTGGTTGTATTTATTAGCCTATAGATCATTGGCTAGGCTAGCAATCAGGATTGGTTGACACCACAGGGATTTGCAATGGTTGTATTCGTGTAATGCGTGCTCGGTATTGTAGTATAATAATATTGATAAATGACAACATATAAAAGATATAAAATCAAGAATTCTGTCATGTGCTAAAGAGCACCGCATAACACAACAAATAACATATTAAACTGTAATTTTATTCTGGAACGGCCCTTTAACAGTAGCATCACCACACAGCCTTCAGAGAACCCCGCTTGTGTTCATGGTTCTATTGTTTGATGGCAAACAGACACAGATACTCAACCAGAGTACGAATAGTTCTGGGTTCTGATCAGTAACTGAAACGTGATACACTTCCCTGTGATCTACTCAGACTGAATACAAGAATCACCAACAGATCACACTGGTTTGTACTTTCTAACAGAAAGAGGGGTGCATTAATAAAAGTGGTGAACATTTCTGCCTTATGAGAACATTTGTGACTAATTTTTATGTCAGCTTAATGTCAGGGTGGCTGGCCAGTTTCCAGCTCATTCTAAAACGCAGCAACAGAGGCACTCAGGCATCCATTTTAGCAGCTCATACATTTCCACTAATATACTTTCTAAACTAATACTAGCAATGTCAGTTCATTTCTGTCTACTGCAAAGGCTTTAAAGCTACAATAAACAATATTATTGTTTTTGTCTTTAGGTAACACTACACTCTTAAAAAGAAAGGTGTCTTGGGAGCAACGCCACAGAAGAAATCACTTTTAGTTCCCTAAAGAATCTTTGAATGTATGGTTCTTCAAAGAACTATTTTTTTAAATGAGATGCAAATGTGATGAACTCTTTTAATGTTTAAAGAATGCCTACATATTGTAAAGGTGCTATACCAAGAGAATGTTTTCCTACAGCTGCTTGGGAACCCTTTTTAGTAAAGATGGAACTCCTCAAAGTTTTCAAAATGTCTAACTAATTAAACTGTTAAGACTGTTAACATAGTCATTCAGAGTGGTTTCATCTGAAATGCTCCATTCTAGATAAATATACCAAATCAGTGGTGATAAGAACCAGAAACAGACGTCCAAAAGTGATTAATGCCTCTAAATGCTACCTCACTGAAAGCTGTTACATTTAATTTTTATTTTTATGGCAATAAATTCCATCACAATAACCTTTCCCGAGCATATTGTTGACACTGTCAACACATAAAGAACTTTGACTGATAAATAAGATTTGGCCTAAAACATATTTTTAAAAATCCATTTATAGCAGAGAGGTAAGGTCAAATAGAACCCAAAGAACACTTGTTTTTTTCCTCCACATTGACCACTACTTTATCATAATTATTATTACATATAAAACTTACAAGACACTTGTAGGTTCACTGGACATTTTTGATAGCAAATAAACGGCTATATTTGTGACTTTAGCCTGTATCCACTGTAAAGAAGTCATGAAGTTTTTCTACAATGCACCATCTACAATTTCACACCAAACCACTCAGAATGACTTTGTATAGAACTTTAAGCAATTAAGCAATGCAGAAATGAAAAACAAATTGGTGGAATTGATTCCCTTTAAGGGTGTAGTATTGGTTCATATCGCTAACCAAATCGTTCACCAAAACATCAGCAAAAGAAAAGCATTTGGCTCCATCATGTCTTTCTGTGATCATCATTGCTCTCACTGTCACATACCTGCACAGATCAGGTTTTAACTTCCTTATGTTTATTTCATTTAATGAGAAATTCTGATAAACTATAATACTGAATGCAATCATAATGGCTCATGTTGTTGACAGCTATTGTCAGTTTTCTATGAATGACACAATGAAGTGTTATAGTATTTAGCATGCGTGTGTGTGTGTGTGAGTTCTCAGTATGTTCAGGCTGCAGGCGTATGGAGTGGGTGTTCATTTCCAGTGCTTTGAATCCTGGCAGCCAGCCAAACACACACCAGTCCATTCACCAACGCATCTCTGAGTACTAAACATAACCACATAGCTATTCTTCAACATCACAATCCACTATTCTTAGCCTTAACTTTGTGTGATGACACAAAAGGGTGCAGAAAGTATGGGCAGCGAGCATATTTTAAAAAAGAAAAGAAGACATGCTGGTATCGTTAATTACATCCATTTACTCATTACTGCACAGAACACATCACAGCAATGACAGGGTAAACACAGCTGCACTGGGAGACGCGGGAAACACAGAGGAATAGCACACACACAAGCAAGCACACACACACACAAACACACACACACACACACACACACACACACACACACAATGCACACACACACACACACACACACACAAACACAATGCACAAGCACTGGAGTTAATTCCTAACTCAACCTTACAATATTTAAATATTACTGTACAGTTCTACTCGATTGCCCTTAAAGTTAATGAATAGAATCTCAGGTCAATATATATTTATAACATATTTATGTGCTGTAGGAAAATATGTTAATTGACATCACAGTACACTTTACTCAGTACACTGTGGATATTGTCTATACTTCTAGCACTGGACAACTGTACGTACCATAAAAAGATTTAGATCAATTATAGAGAGCCAGTGAATAACAGCAACCAGTAATTACTGTACAAACCACATTCTCAGAAAAAACTGTACCTTTCAGGGTACAAACACTGTCACTAGGGTGCTACGATTAAGGGTATGTCTTCAGTAACCCTTAAGTAGTAGTAAGGGGACCTAATCTGCTGCAGTTATATTTTTCAAACATTCTCTAAACTCTGAGTACACTGTAAATGTACTCTGACTACTCTGACTACATTATACATGAGGGTGACCCTCATTTATAATGTAGTCAAGCATTACACAAAAAACAAGGTGCTGAAACAAGTAAATATGAATTCATGAAAGTAAAAGTATGGGAAAGAAAATAAAATTAGACGAAAAAATATTATTAAAAGCAGTATATAAGACAAATAAAAACTTAGGAAACTTTAAAACAAAAAAGATTAACAAATCAAAACAATCAAATAAAACTATTAAGCAGATTAGGTATAAAAATTAATAAATAAAACTGAATTGGAAACAAAAGGTAGACTAGGAAAGAATACTAAACATTAATAATAATGATAAAATAGTAAAATGATAAGAACTGAGAACAACCGAGAAAACAACTAAAAAATTATTTTCAAATTAAAAATTGCAGCTACAGGCTAAGTGAAGGTGGTTAGAGATCAAAAGTCTAAAATGGTTGTGTGACACCAATGAGTGGAGTTTAGAGTTGAGATGAAATACAAATATGGTACCAATATGATTCTTTTCTCTGGGAAAGTGAAAGTAGTGCACCTGTAAAACTTATTTAAGGAACAAAACTGGACCTTAAGGACTGTACCCTTGAGCCTACATTTACATTGTTTGTACAATTTTTTCTGACAGTGAATTATGAATGAACTCATAGAAACAAGCAGCTTATTGGATGTCAGCTCATAATGCCTTTATCTTTTTATTTTATTTTTTTACTAATTGTTTGATATTTCCTCCTATTCTTTCTCAAACACTTTACTTCTGCAGGTTCTTCATTAAAAAATCATTACTCTTTCATACGGTTTGCTGGTGCATTTTGTCTGTTCCAGCTTTGTTACAAACCTCAAAAAATTGATACATATGTCTTATGTAACAATAAAATACCTTGTAGTATCATGATGGTATATTTTTGCATATCACCCACCCTTCCATTGATTTAACTGCTGCTTTTAATAAAATCATGGTTTTAGCTGGTGAGACAAAATCACAGCACAGTACAGACGTGCATGTACACACACGTGCAGGCTGGTGTGACACTGTGAGGCCTGCTCTTACCTGATTGGCTGTGTTGATGTCTATTCCGTTTTTGATATGGTCCAGAGCCTTTTCCAGATTACCTGAGCGCGCAGCACGCAGAAAACTGGTCGCTGCATCCGCCTGAGCCAGAGAGAGACAGAGAGAGAGAGACAGAGAGAGACAGAGAGAGAGACACACAGAGAGAGAGAAACAGAGATGTGAAAGAGAAAATGTGAGAGAAAAAAAGGAACACGAGAGAGAGAAATAGAGATGTGTGAGAGGAAGAGAGAGATGAGTGAAAGAGAGTGAGAGGGAGAGAGATGTGAGAGAAAAAGAGAGAAGTGAGGAAAAAAGAGTGAGAAATAATGAGAGATGTGAGAGGAGAGAGAGTGTTGGTATGTATAGAGAGAGATAGGGAAGAAAAAAGAGAAACAGAAATTTAGAGAGATGTGAGAGATGGGGGGCAGAGAGAGAGAAAGAGAGAGATATGTATAGAGAGATGTGAGAAAAAAGAGATGTGAGAGAAAAAGAGAGTGAGATGGTATGTATAGATGGAGAAATACAAAAAGAGAGATACAGAGAAAGAGAGAAGGAGAGAGAGAGAGAATGATAAAAAGAAAAAGAGAGAAGGGGAGATAAGACACATGACAATAAATAAAAAATATGAACATTGCTGATATGATACTATTGGAGGATTTTTAAAACTGTTTAGAGCAGAATCTGTTCACACATTGATTGGAGGTGGGTGCTGTGTGGGCCTATGGGACTGGGGGAGGCATGCTGTGCTGTGTGTGAAGAGAGCGCTATAGACACAATTTACTGCTCAAGGGCCAAACATACTGCAGCTCAGAAACTACTTCAACATGAAGTTCATCCACTTAAAAGCATCTTCACTTCTGAAGTTCTCAGTTGTAACATTATACGTTATTGAATTATACATTATACATATTACTGAATTCCAATACTGAAATCCACAATGATTTACCAGCATCCTGTTCCGTCTTCAAGCGCATCCTCCAAACATGAAGGAGTTAAAACTCATTCATTTGCATCAGTTAGAATGCATGCCACTGCTGACATAGTAAAACCTCACAAGTCCAGTTTTATTTGTTTTTTTGTTTGTTTTTGTTGGAAAATGCCAGATACTCTTTACATTGTGTAAACATTTCATGGTGAATGAACAAATAGAAATGGTCCAAAATCACTTGGCATCAAATCCTGTTACATGAACATAGAGTGTGGTCAAAATGTCTGGGTCCACAATTCATTTTATCATTTAAACTTAAAATTTAAATTTTATTCTGGAGTTTTAAAATAAAAAAAATAAAAAAAAACAGAAAATAAAGAAAAGTAACAAGTAAAACTGAAGATGAAATATTCAGGATTCTGAACTGGTTTTATGTTGCTATTCCAATTTAAGCAATCTTGCAGTATTGACCATGTTAAGCCTTTACAAAAAGGTCAGACTGTTATTCTTATCCCTGAAGCTCATGTTCAGGCGACTCTCAGGTGGATCTGACCTACTCATCAGAGGCCTTTTGTACAAACTTGTGGAGTCCAGCTCGAGTGCATGCTGTCATTAAAGCAAAACATGGACATGGCAAATAATAGGAAATTCTGAAATTCATGCAAATATGTTAGAGATTCGACTATTCACTCAAATTGTTTTGCTGATAATATAATTTGTAATGAAATATATATTGTATGAAATTTTAAAATAATGCAAAATAAAAGCATTTTCACAAAGGGAATATTGGGACTTGTTCACCAACCGTTCTTAAGAATAAATTTCTTCTTAAAACCTACTCACACAGTTTTCATGAAGATTCTGACATTCACCACTGAGTTCTTATTAGGGATTTGTTCTCAGCTAAGAACAGAATCTACACACACTCAAGAGCACAAAGGTGCGAATAATTCTGCAGTTTAAGAACACGTCATGAATCTGACGTAGACTTCTTTGTGGAGCTTTTCTCAAAAACAAATTTATGCAAACCCCTAAGAAGATGTTGCATAATGAGGCCTATTGTTCCATCTCCTGTTAAGTTAGCACTTGAGAGATATGAGATTCTTAAATATGATTCCGAAAACTGATCGCACTTATAATGAGCTAAACAAGAAATTAATTAATTCATTAAATTCTTGTTAGTTCTTCTAATGTTCTTTTTCATATGATACTGCATGTGAAACACACCATTTTCAAGCTCTTTTCAGATATCTGGGTGACTATGGCCTATCTGTCTGATCTATCTGTACTTCCTCATTTATCATCTATCATCTCTCTTTCTCTCTCTCTCTCACCATGATGACACGTCTCTTTTTGATCTGTAGTCGCTTCATCTCCCAGTGGAGTTCAGATGTAGGCTTTCTGATTTTCCTCCTTTTTCCATTCCCTCTGTTTCTCTCTTTCTCTCATGGTGGCAGTCAGAGAACAACTGGTTCTCGTGCTGTCACATACTGTAAAACCTACACCAGTTATCACCAACTGGTGTTTTGATGGTGGTGTTTTGATTCCTGGCATCAGTCCGAAATCTCCCATAAGAGTTCAACTGGGTAGAGATCTGGTGACTGTGAAGGCCACAGCATATGACTTACATTATTTTCATAGTCATCAAACCATTAAGTGACCCTTCATGCCTGGCGGATGTGGCGGTTATCCCTCCCATCAGGATAAAAAGTTTCAGCATAGGTTAAAGATGATCACTCAGAATAACCGTACTGATTGTCAGTGACCCATCCCTCAAAAGGGAGAAGCAGCCCTAAACCACACCAGCAAAATACCCCCACAGCATAACAGAGCCACTAGGTCCCTTCAATGTAGGGGTCAAGCTTTCAGGCCAGTATCATTCTTTAGTGTACATCACACATGCATTCGCCTACTTGTCTTTTCATCTTGCCATACGGATGCAAAATCAAGGTCAACTGGGCCTGCTCAGCATTTTTATACTGCTATAGAGCCACAGAGCATGTCTAGCACTACTGACTACACAGATGACAGTGTGAGCACATTTTTTTCAAGATTAGAGAACAATATATTGGCTACCAAAACATCACACCCTTGCATGCCTGTGTATCATGCAATACATTTGTCTGGAAGTATCTGCACTCATTATGTTTCTTCACTCATTTGTTCATATTTTGCATAAATGTGCATTATATATATGATGTAAAGTAAGTCTGATTACTCAATTAATCATCAAAATGATCCATATACTGCTTCATTGTTAATACAGTTGAAATCAATAGCCCTACATTTTACCTTTGAAAAGAACTAAATACGTCGATAATCTGCCTTTCAGTTAAAAATTCAGTTGTGGACATCAGGTCTCCTCTGAAAATCCATGAGAAAGATTTGATGACCATCACTTTCCCATTGCCTAAAAGAGATGTCTCCTGAAGTGCCTGCGTTTACACACGCACACTGACGCTTTACTTTGATTTGGCAGATGCTGCAGAGTTTTGCGTTATCAGATCTTCACTGTTCAGCCCCAGGCTGTTGTGTCACTCTATGGAAGATACAGGTGGAATACTAAGCAAGAGGGCAAAAGTAATTCCATAACCCTATTCCTCACACTGTGCTGCTGACAGCACAGAAAAAGTCATCTTTCATCACGATGAAAACACGCGGACTGTGCACATGTGTGTGTGTGTGATGGTGTTAGGGTGTGTATTCTAGGAGCCAGTGTAGTGACATCATATCTAGTGTGTTACTGTAAACTACACAAAACCCGCTATAGAAAACATTACAGTGCACTATAGAGTATCATTTTATTCTTTTTCTTTTTTGCAGACTAGCCATGCTCATCACGTCCTTCCTGTGCTAACGTGCTCTTCCACTCTGCCTTCTGCTTTGAAGAATGGCCATGAAGTGTGGCCACTCATTTATCATTGTTATGTGCAGCAGTTACGTGTAGCCACATAATGTAATCAGATGCTGAAGATGTAATCATAAGCTGAAGACATAATATTGTTGACTTCTACCATGCATTAATTCTCCCAGCTCCCTCTTACACAGCCTCTGGTGCTTTTCTCCTCTGACTGAATGGACAAACATGTGCACTCAAATCTTTGCACATTAGAGAAAAGCAATAAAACAGTACATTGATATCACAACATACCAGTATAAGCAGGGTTTCCATTTTAAAGTTTTGCAAATTTTCGTAAAAGTCAGTAAAAGAACGTTAATTCTTTAGTGTAACTTTAGCTTACTATGTGTGGAGGGATTTGTTGATTATTTTGATAGTAAGCTGTACATAGCTGTAGCCCCAACAGTTTATAGATGCCAAGTAGAGTGAATAGTGGACCATTTAATGGGGGCTAAAGTCACTGTCCCCTGGAAACATAAGCCCAGATGTAGCATTCATGGCTGTGTCTCTATTTATAAATTACCTTACTAAATAGTATGTTCAAAATAGTAATGGCATCTTTGGTGGTGTGCTAATTTGACATGTTATTTATACATGTGGTTTAAGATGCAGCTGATGGTGCTCATCTGTTTGTTATCGTCAGATATACGTCACTTTCATTCTCACTACATCAGTACTTATTTGAAAAACATCAATGTTTACATCACTGTTTAAAATATTTCTCCTTTGATAAACAACCTTTTCCTCCTCATGCATGTGTAAAAGCTTTTTTTGCAATATTTAGCCATTTTTTGAATTTCTAGATTTTCCATCCAGCATTTTCAAAATCTCCATAAAAGAAGTGGATGGAAACCCCTCTACAGTCCATATGTTACCCAGCTTCACCCATCAGTCTCCACTAACATGCAGCACCACCTGGCCAATAAACCAGTGCATTCAGCACCAGAAATTTGGTGGGGGAGGGGGAAATTAGCGAAGTTGCGGCTGGGGGATTATTAGAAGAACATGATCAATAAAGGCCATGGCGGGCAATTTGGCCCGTACAGCAGGGTTAACACCTCTACTCACAGTGACGAATGTCATGGGATTTTTAATGAGCTCAGAGAGCTAGGATCAGTATGTGTTGTTGTTGCTTTCATTCTTTTTTACTCTCCTGTGTGTGTGTCGCTCAGTCTGCTAGCTTCCTGTAAAGCTCTTCCTCAGCTCTCTTCCATAAAATATGATTCAGTAACAGCTTAAATCATCTCTATAGGGACCTCAAAGAGCTGCAGTGTC